GGGGATGTGCCCGCAACCAAGATACATGCCCTTGACCAGAATCAAACCCGGGACCCTTCAGTCCCCAAGCCGACGCTCTATCCATTGAGCCAAACCGGTCTCGGCAAGTTCATCGAGCTCTTAAAACCATTTTTATTTCTGTAAAATTGATAGCAATGTTCCACTTGCCTTTATGGTTTAGTTACTTGAATTCTATCTTTTCCTTAGTCATTTCAGCTAGAGATTTTTCTAGTGGGATTTGTTCTTGAAATGCAAGTCTGATATCCTACCTAATAATAGAGTAATATGCAAATTAACCACCACTCTGCTATTCCCATAAGCCATGCCTATCAGCCATGCCCACCAGCCAATCAGAGTGAGTATGCAAATTAACCCAACCAAGATGGCTACCAGAAGGGAGGCTTGGGTTTCCCCAGCAACAGAGGAAGCCACGCTTTCCACATACTCTGGTGGGTCCAGGCCTCCGCTCACGGATTCAAAGATACAAAGCCACAGATGGAGCATGAGGCTTAGCTCCACTCCAGGCTACAAAGTTTCAATTGTAGAAGGTAAATAAATTCCAGATACCAGGGCCTCCACTTGGGTTGGCAGAGGGTGTGGCCGGCCTGCAAACCACCACAGGCCCCTTGCCCAAGCCACCCCATGTCCCAAGGGAACCCCTACTCTGAGCTGGGACACCCTTCAGAGAAAACTAGCCAGCCCCCACTCATGCACCAGGCCTCTATCCTATCTAATAAAAGAGTAATATGCAGATTGATCATCACTCCAACACACGTACACAATGAAACATCATTTAGGCTGAAACCGATTTGGCTCAATGGATAGAGTGTCGGCCTGCGGACTGAAAGGTCCCAGGTTCAATTCCGGTCAAGGGCATGTACCGTGGTTGCGGGCACATCCCCAGGAGGGGGTGTGCAGGAGGCAGCTGATGGATGACTCTCTCTCATTGATGTTTCTAACTCTCTATCCCTCTCTCCTCTGTAAAAAGTCAATAAAATATATTAAAAAAAAAAAAAAAAGAAACATCATTTAGCCACGAGAAAGAAACAAACCATGCCATCTGTGAAAACATGAATGGAACTTGAGGGCATTATGTTACTATAAGACAGAGCAAAGTAAATACCGTATGATGTCACGTATGTGGAATCTAAAAGAGCTGCACTCATACAAACCCAGAGTAGAAAGTGATTCCTGGAGGCTGGGAAAACTGAGGTGATATCAGAGAGTACAAAGTTACAGTTTTAAGATGAGTAAGTCCTGGGGACATAATGTGACTATGGTTAACAATATTGTATTAAATACTTGAAAGTTGCTAAGAAAACTTATGTCAAGTGTTCTACACACACACACACACACACACACACACACACGCACATGTAATTATGTGAGGTGATGGAGTGTTAACTAACCCTACTGTGGTCATCATGTCACAATACATAAGTGTATCAACTCAATACAATGTACATCTTAAATACAATGTTATGTCAACTACAGTTCAATAAAGCAGGGGAAAACTGGGCAAAGAGTGAATAGACATTTCTCCAAGGATAAATACAGATGACCAATGAGCATGAGAAAATATGCTCAACATTAGAGAACACAAAAATCAAAACCACAATGAAATACTACCGCATACCCAGTAGGATGGCTATTGTTACAAAAGGCAAGTGTGTCGGTGAGAGTGTGGACAAACTGGAACCCTGTGCACCGCTGGGAGAATGTAATGGGTCAGCCACGGTGGAAAACAGTACGATGCTTTCTCAAAAAGTTAAACTCAGAATTATTATATGGTCTAGCAAATCCAATTCTAGAGGTACACCCAAAAGAATTATTTTTTTTATTTTTATTTTTTAAGTATATTTTACTGATTTTTTACAGAGAGGAAGAGAGAGGGATAGAGAGTTAGAAACATTGATGAGAGAGAGTCATTGACCAGCTGCCTCTTGCACACCCCCTACTGGAGATGTGCCCGCAACCAAGGTACATGCCCTTAACCGGAATCGAACCCAGGACCTTTCAGTCCACAGGCCGACGCTCTACCACTGAGCCAAACCGGTTTTGGCAGAAAGTAGTTTTATTTAAAAAATATATATATTTTATTGATTTTTTTTTAGAGAGGAAGGGAGAGGGATAGAGAGTTAGAAACTCGATGAGAGAGAAACATCAATTAGTTGCCTCCTGCACACACCATGGGCCCCCCCACCCCCACTGGTAGAATGAAAAAATACATGATAGGGAACTAACAGTAGAATAGATGAAGCAGAAAATCAGATTAATGGCTTGGAAGTTGAAGAAGCAGAAAGTATCCAATCACAATAGAAAAGGAAAAAATGAAGGTAGTGTAAGGAGCCTCTGGGAAAACTTCAAGAGTACCAACATTTGCATCATGGGGGGTGTGGGGTGGAGCAGAAGGAGAAGAGAGAGAAGAAGTCAAAAACCTATTTGAAAAAATCCTCTATTCTGGTGAAGGAAATAGACATACAAGTCTAGGAAGCACAGAGTGTTCCAAACAAAATGAACCCAAAGAGGCCTACACCAAGACACATCATAATGAAAATGCTAAGAGTTAAAGACAAAGAGAATCTTAAAAACAGCAGAAGCAGTTAGCTATATACAAGGAAGCTCGCAAAGACTTCTAGCTGATTTATCAATAGAAACTTTCCAGGCCAGAGGGATTGGCACGAAATATTCCAAGTGTAGGAAAGCAAGGACCTACAACCAAGATTACTGTTCATAGAAGGCTATCATTTAGAATCAAAGACAGAAAGAAAAAAAAAGCAAAAGGATTTCATCACCTCCAAACCAGTATGACAAGAAATGTTAGAATCTTCTTTAAGAAAACGAAGAAAATGAATAATAAAATAGCAATAAATACATGTCTATCAATAATTATATGCAAATGAATCAAATACTCAAAATTAAAAGACAGATGGTGACTGAATCACAAAACAAGCCCCTTACATATGCTGTCTACGTGAGACTCACTCCAGACTTAAAGATACACACAGACTGAAAGTAAAGGGGTAGAGGTCATAAATACGTAAACAAAACAAAAAAGCTAGGGTAGCAATACTGATATCAGACAAAATAGAATTTTTTAAAAAAAAAGCTATAACAAGAGATTCTGGGTATTTATCCAAAGAAACCCAAAATGCTAAAATATATATTATACACACACACACACACACACACACACACATCCATATGTTCATTGCAGTATTATTTACAATAGTCAAGATATGGAAGCAACCTAGGTGTCCATCAATAGATAATTAGATTTAAAAAGTACTGCATATACACAATGAAATATGACTCGGTCACGAAAAACAATGAAATCTTGCATCTGCAACAACATGGCCGGGCCTAGCAGTGGTTCTCAACCTTCCTAACGCCGCGGCCCTTTAATACAGTTTCTCATGTTGTGGTGACCCCCAACCATAACGTTATTGTCCTTGCTACTCCGTAACTGTCATGTTGCTCCTGTGATGAGCCGTGATGTAAATACCTGTTTTCCGATGGTCTTAGGCAGCCCCGCTAGCGGTTCCCACCTGTGGGTCGACCCTGCTCTATGAGGCTTTCCAGACTTTTGAGAGAAGCAACATTTGGTCAAAAAGTGTATCATTTTTTACAGACGAGTGAGTTCAGGATGGAATTCATGTCTTCTCTGACTAAAAGCCAAGTATAAACTAAAAGCGATGTCCAAACACTAGGCTTCAGTCAACACTCATGAAGCCTCAAATTTCAAGTAGTGTTTCTGATAAACCCTCTGACGTATATATATTAATATGTTGATTTCAGAGAGGAAGGGAGAGGGGAGAGAGAGAAACATCAGCGATGAGAGGGAATCATTGATTGGCTGCCTCCTGCACGCCCCCCACGGGGGATCAAGCCCAAAACCCAGGCATGTGCCCTTGACCAGAATCGAACCTGGGACCCTTCAGTCTGCAGGCCGATGCTCTATCTACTAAGCCAAACCGGCTAAGGCACCCTCTGACGTTTAAGCAACAGCAACATAAAACCAACACCAGGAGAGCCGAGTTCCCCCAGGACCATCCCTGGGCAATCCCAGAGATCACGCACGGCCGAATGTTAACAAAAACGCTGTAACGAAAGCGTACAAGCCCCGCAGAGGCTGCCTCTCAGGAGCGCAGAGGCTGCGCCCGGCAGGGAGCAGGGAGAAGCCGGGGCCCAGGCCCGAACGCCCCTCCGCACACTGTCCCTGGCAACACCCTCTGGCAACACCCCCCTGGCCCTGGGACAGTGCCATCGCTAACCCACTGCCACGGGGTCTCTGCATCCTGTGCTCACTCCCCCATCTCCCAGGGACCACGTGCAGGCGACAGGCATGGGGTGAGGCTAGCACAGTGGTCGGCAAACATCAGTCCACAGAGCCAAATATCAATGGTACAATGATTGGCATTTCTTTGGAGAGCCACGATGTTTAAACTTAAACTACTTCTAACGCCACGTCTTCAAAGCAGACTCGCCCAGGGGCCGTGGTATTGTGAGGACGAGCCACACTCGAGGGGCCAAAGAGCCGCATGTGGCTCAGGAGCCGCAGTGTGCCGACCCCGGGGCTAGGCCTTCAGGACAAGCTCTTGTGTCAAGAGCCTGAGGCTGCAGGGCCAGGCTTGTGACTGATCGATCAGCCAACCAGCCGGTGGGGAGGATTCCATCGCCCAGGCCTCCCAGAAGCTGCCCCACAGCCCCCACCTCCAGGGCTGCGGGTCCACTCGCAGGGCTCGCTCTCTCTCTCTCTCCCTTTCCCTCTCCCTCTCCCCGGCCATCCCGCCCACGGCCTGCCCTTTGCCCTTTCCGATCGCTCTGATCTCATCCCCGCCTCCCCAGCTGTGTAAAGTCCGCCTCCGGGAGCAGAGATTGAGGGTTCCCGGTCCTCCCTGGCCCAGTCCTGCCCGAGCCAGAGGCCTGGGTCCGCGCACCTGGCTTCCGGGGACTGAGCCCGGGTTCGAGGAGAGGCCTGGGCACCTCCCGGCCGCAGGATGAGGCTGGCCGCCGGCTCCCTGCTCCTGTGGCTGAGCCTGGGGGGCGGCCTGGCCCAGAGCGAGGACACGGGCCCCGCCGCCAGCCCCGCCGCCAACGCCGCCGAGTCCTACTCGGACTGGGGCCTCCGGCACATCCGGGGCGGCTTCGAGTCCGTCAACAGCTACTTCGACTCCTTCCTGGAGCTGCTGGGGGGCAAGGATGGCGTCTGCCAGTACCGGTGCCGCTACGGTGAGTGCCAGTGCCGGCCGCTCCCCGGGCACGCTCGCCCAGGCCCGAGGGCCGGGCGGTCACAGCCGGGCATGGGCTTGTATTCTGTCCCCCATCCCGGGTGGGACTGCCACTCCGCACCCAGTGAAGCCTGAATCCCCAACAAACAACCAGTAACGTGTGGGTGCATTTGAAATGCTTGGGGCACACATACACTGGCCAAGTATTGGCTGTTTATCTGAAAATCAAACGCCACCGGCTGCCTGTGTGTGAGCTGGCGCCCGGCTCCCAGGAGCTCTGCTGGGGCCGTTCTCCTGGGTTTGCTGGGAGGGGTCCTTCCTTGGGGAAAAGGGGCAGGGGCGGGAGAACAGGAGAGCTGTGTGAGGGTGCCCAGGGGAAAGGAAGCTGAACCTTCGGAGAAGATGGGGAGGGGGGGGGGTGAAGCAGGCTCCTAGGTCACTGTGCTGAGCCTGGAAGGGTCTCCCCGGTGCTGCTCACACCTGCCTCCCAGCTGGCCAGCCTCCCTCCATGGCTCCCCTCACTGGCCCCGGTGGCATAGGGAGAGCCGGCTGCCCTGGACCTGGGCCGGGCCAGGGCTGTGAATGGTGGGAGCCTTGGGTCCAAAGAGGAGGCCTGGGCCAGTGCTTCCTTCAGGCCCTGGAAGCCCAGGTCGTGCGGGCAGACCTGGCCGAGAGGCGGGGTAACTCAGATGCTCACGCCGTCAGCACACACAGCCTCACAGCTCCGGCCTGGGGTTTGTGTACCCAAGGTTTCCTCTCGGGGTCAGAGGTGGAAATGGAGAGCAGGGGAGCCCGCAGGAAAGCACTTGAGCAATGTTTGCTCCAAACGGCCCACAGAGAGCTCAGCCTGGAGAGAGACTCAGGGAGCCCCACACTGCAGACCCCCCTCCCACCCCCACCCCGGCTCCCTCTCTCCCTTTTTGCTTTGGAGCTGGGGAGGGGGAGGTAGGCAAAGGAGGAGCTGCTTTCTTACTAGATATGGCTGACTGGGAGGCAGTGGGAAGCCACTGCGCCAGAAGCAGAAGTTTGCGACACAGAATTTTAGATGCACGGACGGATGTGGTGAAAAAGGAAGCTGCGTTTTTCTCTGAGAATTCAGTGGAGTGAAAAGCCTGTTCTGTGCCAGGACCACCTGAACCCCTGGCCTTGGCTGTGTGCGGGCGGCAGGACAGAGCAGAGGCGCCCTGGCCCTGCCCCTGGCCCCTCCTCAGCGCGCCCAGGGGGCAGAGGGGGTGCGCTCGCTGCAGACACCCACACGGCTGCGGGCCCTTCCTCAAGGCAACACGGGTCGCAGGCCCCTGGTCCAGCCAGCAGACGAGAACAGGCCTCTCTTTCAGGAAAACAGAGTCAAACCCTCCTCTTCCTTCCCAGCAACCTAGCATTAAGAGATTTCAGCAGCTTTTGGTTGCAGACTCTACCTGGGCAGGCCTGTCCGCACTCCGAGTGGGGGATGGAATGGTCAACAGAGAGGGAGCAGGAAGGCAAACAACTCCGCTCCGTCTGGGGAGCAGAGGGGCCCGGGAAACACGGGGAGACGGGAAAGCCTCGTTACCTTCGGAACTGTGCCACCCGGACGCGGATCTTCTCTAGCCGACGGCGAACCAGGCTCCCTCCGGGCGAACCAGGCTCTCTAGGACAGACAGCGCCTAACCACCAAGCGAGCATCCTCAGCTTGCTTCCCCACACACCTCTCCTTCAGAGCTCTCCCTTCCCTCTTAGCAGTCCTCACCTTCACGGGGCCCCCACCTCCTGCCTCTGATTTGCTGCCTGGAGCGGCCGGAACAGTTGCATTCCTAAGGGTTCCCAGGTGATCCCGATGCTGCTGGTCCAGGGGCCACACTTCCAGGGAAAGAACGGCCTTGAAGGCTGCTGCCTCCTGCCAGAAAGGACAATTGAGTGACAATCAATCTACAAGAAAAGCTGTTCTACTTTCTAAGTCCTTACCACGATCAGGCACACCTCGGAGATACTGCAGGCTCCTTTCCACGCCACAGCACTAACGCGGGTTTTGCAATAAAACCAGCTGCAATCCTTTCGCTGGCGGGGGGCCTTGCGCTCCAACTGTAAAGAGCACAACCTCCGTGAAGCACAGTAAAGCCACGTGCGATGAACGAGGTGAGCCTGTACCTAAAACAAGGTTCCCTGCCTCAGCCTGCTCTTAGAATCACCTGGGGGTGAGAGGGAGCTTAAAAAACTCCTGCCACCCAAACCCGTTAAATCAGAATCTCCGTGGCCCAGACCCACACAGACGTATTTTAACGCTCCCAGGTGGTTACAAAGCGCAGCCAAGGTCTGGAGGTCATTCTTGGAGAACTTCAGCCCGAGGGCTGTTCAGACACATAAAGGCGTGTCTGTACCCTGGTAGCCTACAATTCTGTGTCAACATTGCTTTCACGCTCCTTATAGCTACAGCATTTATTCTCACGTCAGCACCCAAAGTCTGGCCCAGGGACCGGGCTATAAATAGTTCGAGGAGGTTCAGAAGGTGGTGTCCTCGGCATGCGAGCGGCTGCTGGGATGAGGCATCAGCACCAGGTGGACACGATCCCCGCCCCCGCCCAGAGATGCTGGCCCAGGGGTCTGTGGTGGAGCCTGGCCTGCACAGGTGGTCCCTGAATGAGGCTTGGCTAAATACCAGCAATGGAAAAACCCTGGGTTTGAATTGGGCGGGGCTGGTGGTGGGGAGCGGGGGCGGGAGGGGAGAGAGAGGGTTGGAGTTGGGTAATCTCATAGCTTGCACAAGTTACCTAATGCTCAACCTTTGTTTTCCCATGTTTATAAGTCATGCTAATAATACTTGCTTTGGCCAAAACCGGTTTGGCTCAGTGGATAGAGCGTCAGCCTGCGAACTGAAAGGTCCCAGGTTCGATTCTGGTCAAAGGCACATACCTTGGTTGCAGGCACATCCCCAGTGGGGGGTGCAGGAGGCAGCTGATCGATGTTTCTCTCTCATCGATGTTTCTAACTCTCTATCCCTCTCCCTTCCTCTCTGTAAAAAATCAATAAAATATGTTTAAAATAATAATAATAATAATTAATAATGATACCTGCTTTGTGAGGTTGTTGAAGAATTAAAGAGAATAAACATGAAGAAGGAGTGCCATGTAGGATGCATGACAGGCACCGAACACATTTTACCGATATTATGAGGAAGATGGTCTGGTGAGCAGGCTCCTGTGCATTCAAGTGCTTCCCAGCTCTCTTTCAACTTTAAACGCAAACCTCAGAAACCCCGGGGCCGGACAGCGGCTCCTCAGCGTCAGGAGGAAGCGTCCTGACTTAGGTTCCTGTGTCTTTAGGAAGGACTCGGCGTCTTATGAGTCACCGTGGGAGGTACTGTCCACACTGCCTGCCACACTTGGGAAAAAGGACTTGAACTTCTTCTTGGGGTTAGTTCTAAGGAAAAAAGTTCTCTCAATATCAGCCTCCTCCTCCTCCTCCTCCTCCTCCTCCTCTTCCTCCTCTTCCTCCTCCTCCTCTTTCTCCTCCTCCTCCTCTTTCTCCTCTTTCTCCTCCTCCTCCTCCTCCTCCTCCTCCTCCTCCTCCTCCTCCTCCTCCTCCTCCTCCTCTTCCTCCTCCTCCTCCTCTTTCTCCTCCTCCTCCTCTTTCTCCTCTTTCTCCTCCTTCTCCTCCTCCTCCTCCTCCTCCTCCTCCTCCTCCTCCTCCTCCTCCTCCTCCTCCTCCTCCTTCTCTTCCTCCTCTTCCTCCTCCTCCTCCTCCTCCTCCTCCTCCTCCTCCTCCTCCTCCTTCTTCTCCCCCCCCCCCCCCCCCCATTTACAGCTACTGGTTTAGAGCAGAGCTGTTCTCCTGCTGAGTGACCAGTTGTCCGCTGTGCTGGGCACTGAGGGGAGTCTGGGGCCCCTGGGGTGTGGGACTTTGGGTTCTAACCCAGGGCAGACTCAGGCAAGCTAGGTCACCTCACTTCACGCAGCAACTTACTCAGCTTCAGCAACTGAAGCAGAACGTATGGCTTCAATGGAGCTGCCCCCGTTCTGCTTTGTTCCCGATGAGCCGCGTCTGCGTGTTTCTGGACGTGAGCACACACACGGCACATGTGTCAGCCCCCGGGAGACCCGGGGAGGGAGGCTCGGAGCTGCCTCCGCGGGAACGGCGGGCGGGGAGAGGACACCCCCCGGGGAAGACGGAACCCTTGACCTGGGTCAGGAAGCCCAGCCGGTTCACTGCTCTCCGCAGTGACACGCCGAGGCTGGGCCGGGAGCGTGCACAGCTGCGGCAGAACAGGAGTTTCCGGGCCAACTCTCCCGAAATGGCTCTCATTTTTAACTGCTTTACTTATTTTCTGGCATCTTACTTTATTCAGAAGTTTTTAATTTTCATAACGTCAAGTCTGTCTGTCTTTTTCTTTATGTTTTCTGAAGTTGTTCTCTTGCTTAGAAAACCATTCTCTCATCAAGATGATAAGAATGTTCTGCTCTTTTTTTCTGGGGAAGCAGGCATAGCCAATAGGTAGGGAGTGTTGCTATGTCCCCATAAAACATTTTAATGAATGTTGTAATTTGAATTTAATATCATTTTCATGTCACAAAATACTATCCTTGTTTTGACTCCGATGCACCCCTTCTCCCCTCAACCATTAAAAAAATATAAAAACCGTTTCGGCTGGCAGACATACCAAAGCCGGCCAGTAGTTTATAGGCCAGACGTGAGCCATGCTTGCCGGCCTATAAACTACTGGATCGGGTTGTCAGCCTCCCTCTCCTATAAATAGCCAAAACCAGAAAATTAAAATCAACGTGTACATTATGAATGCCTAGACTCAAAACAACAAACTGGAAGGACTCAACACAACTCCAAACGACTCAAGCTATAACTTGAGGATGTAGTATATTACTTCAGCTTAGACTCAAACCATCAAATTTTTTTCTTTGAACTTGGACGTCAAGTTTCATTCCTAAATAGAGTTTCTGCTGCTACAACACATATTAAACCAGGAGATCATGGTTCAATTTCAAGTCAATTCACATGTCCGAGTTGTGGCTTAATACCCAGCGGGTGTGTGTGTGCGCAGTAGGCAGCCAATTGATGTTTTGCTCTCATTGATGTTTCTATCTCTCTCACTCCTTTCCTCTCTCTAAGATCAGTAAAAATATATTTAAAAAAGAGAAAAAAAGAACTCAATAAAAATGAATAGATAGATTTAAAACAAGAATTCTAAGAAATTAAACTTTTAGTCATTGAAAGAAAAGACTCCGTGAATGAGTTAAACAGCAGGTTAGAAAGAATTAGGAAAATGGTAAATAGACTTGAAGTTAATAAAAAATCAGTACCCAGAGAGAAAAATATCTATATATATAAAATGCTAGTATGCAAAGTGTCCCCTCAGGAGTTGGACCGGGAGTTTAATGATGTGTGCTAACCAGCCGGGGGGCAGCACGGGACAAAGGAAGGCCCAACAGCCAGGAGGCTCTGATCGGCCCTGATCACTGGCCAGGCCTAGGGACACTGCTCATGCATGCCCCAGGCCTCTAGTATAAAATAAAAGAGATATTAAGATATATAAAGTATAGGATTAAAAAGATTCACCATTCAGTAATAAGAGGCCCAGAAGGAGAAACTAGAGAGAATCCTATATAATAAAAGCCCAGCAACCAAATGGCAGAATGACCAGAATGACCAGTCAACCAGTTGCCATGATGTGCACTGATCACTAAGGGGCAGATGCTCAATGCAGGAGCTGCCCCCTCATGGTCAGTGTGCTTGCACAGGGGGAGCACTGCTTGACTGATCGGGCTGAGCTGCTCAGAGGGCAGGTCCATAGCTGCTCAGCTCACCGGGATGAGTGGTGCTCCCACAGTAGCTAATCCCCCTCAGGCCACGCCCCCACCAGCACACAAATCCGTGCACTGAGCCGCTAGTGAGGAAAATAAAATACAGTAAACCCTGATTTTGCAGACCTTGATTTAATGGACTTAGGATTTAACAAACAAAATTTCTCATCCGTATGTCCTATGTGAAAATTAATTAAAAAATGCTTTTAACCAAGATTTGTTCATAATTAAATTTACAGGTTATTTTTTATGTTATTAATCAACTTTTAGCGAATAGGCCATATGTTGGAAAAAACACTATAGTAATTTTGCCAACATAAATAAATATTACATGTCTACAACTACAGTCTACGTATGTAAATCCAAGAGTCGCCGCTTGTATACAATGTTAGTGGAATGATTAGCATGTGATCACACTGCCTCTCTCATAGTAATTGGTTCTCTTGTCATGTGGCATTACTTTCTTTTTTTTTCTTCTTTAAAAAAAATATATTTTATTGATTTTTTTTACAGAGAAGAAGAGAGAGGGCTAGAGAGTTAGAAACATCAATGAGAGAGAAACACTGATCAGCTGCCTCTTGCACACCCCCTACTGGGGATGTGCCTGCAACCAAGGTACATGCCTTTGACCGGAATCGAACCTGGGACCTTTCGGTCTGCAGGCCAACGTTCTATCCACTGAGCCAAACCGGTTTTGGCTGCATTACTTTCTGCAGCAGTTCTAACTTACGCCAGGGACATTCGATGTAGGCTACCCCCAGCGTGTACACTTGTTTGCTGTGATGACTGATGAACGCACCCATTTACTAGACCTGTTCCGTATAAACTTAAAATCACAGTAACATATAGAATACTTTTCTGTGAAATTAAACTTTTCAGACATACTTACTTGTAATTACACAAATGTGTCTACATAAGTAAAAACAGGTCCACTGATTTGCCAATTTTTTAACATAGGCGTTTGGAAAAATTACTTTATTATATAATGGACTTTCCGCTTTAATGGACACCCCCTTCTGAATTGGTCTGTCACAGCGAGGCTGTCCTGGATTCAGACAGTGGCTGTGGATTCTCCAAGGGTCATAGAAACCTCAATCTTCCGACTGTTCAGAGCAGGATGAGGACAGACACTTCGCATCTAGGCACACTGTGGTGACCCTGTGAGGAGGTGGAGGAACTGGACCCTGTGCACTGCAGATGGGAATGTGAAAGGTGCAGCTACTCAGGCAGACAGGCTGCACCATGGAATAAAAGCATCCTTCCCACTGCCCGCCTCGGCAACGAGGTGTTGCCATTTGACTAAGGTCTGGCCAAAGGAAGGAGGAGGAAGTGATGTGTGTACCATTCAGGAGTGTGTTTATTCAAGAGGGAGGCTGGGATCCTTCTACTTCCTTCTTCCAGGTGATGCTTACATGGGAAGATGCTGGCTGACGCTCCTTCTTGGACCATGAGAGCTAGGGCTTCACTCTAGGGCTGGCAGAGCAGAAAGCCAGCAGCAGCCTGGGACCCAGAAAAGCACAGGTTTTCTGTTCCGGCCTTACGATCCTTAATTCTGGGGTTTTATGAGGTATCCTATGTTGTGTAAGTATCTGAATAGTCCAGTATGTCGGAGGGATAATAGATACACGGAGAAAATGATAGCACTCTATTGAAGGCCATAAAGGAGGACTAAGTAAATGGAAAGCTATCCTATGCCCATGTTTGGGAAGACAGAATAGTCTAAGAAAGTCAGCTGTCTCCAAATTAATCTATAAATTCAATGTATGTTCAAGCAAAATTCTGACAATCTCTTTTAAAATGTACTAACTCATAGGCAAGAGTGAAGGGCCAAGAATAATCAAGACAATTTTGGGCTTTAAAGCGTAGACATAGTCTTTAAAAATTAAAACAGGAAGATGGGGGCAAAGGGGCTTCAACTATCCTTGCAACAGTAATTAAGCAGAAAATATACTTATGGAAAGTTTGGTAAAGTTAACCCTCATTATGTTTATGTAATGGGCTCATGGGTGTTTTTTTCCTCTGACTTTTCTTCAGTTTTGAAATTTCATAATAAAAACAATAATTAAAAATAAAGAAAATAGCCGAAACCGGTTTGGCTCAGTGGTAGAGCCTCGGACTGCAGACTGAAAGGTCCTGGGTTCGATTCTGGTCAAGGGCATGTACCTTGGTTGCAGGCACATCCCCGGTAGGGGGTGTGCAAGAGGCAGCTGGTTGATGTTTCTCTCTCATTGACGTTTCTAGCTCTCTATCTCTCTCCTTTCCTCTCTGTAAAAACCAACAAAATATATTTAAAAAAATCATTCATAATTAAAAAATAAATAAATAAATAAATAAAAAATAAAGAAAATAGCCAAAACCGGTTTGGCTCAGTGGTAGAGCGTCAGTCTGTGGACTGAAAGGTTCCAGGTTCAATTCCGGTCAAGGGCATGTACCTTGGTTGCGGGCACATCCCCAGTAGGGGGTGTGCAAGAGGCAGCTGGTGGATGTTTCTATATCATGGACATTTCTAGCTCTCTATCTCTCTTTCTTCCTCTCTGTAAAAAATCAATAAAATATATTTTTTTTAAAAAATAAAAAAATAAAGAAAGAAAATAGAAATGCCAGGTACCTCACTTCGAGGATTAATTCTTAGCTTATTTCCTCAGTCTTATGCTACATCTCGTCCCACAAAGAGGCCAAGGAACATGGAGGAAGAACAGGACTTTTGGAGAAAAACAGGAAATCTGCATTTATGTCCTTCTTCCCCCACTTACTATATGACTGAAGCTAGTCACGCAGCCTCTCCGCCCCACTTTCTTATCCAGATAACAGATAAAAAGACTCACTGGAGATGACCGTCCAGAGTTCATCTCAGGTCAAGGTTATCTCTGTGATGCATGACTACCACTGAGTCACTGACAAAGAATCCTGGCACAAATCTGCAAGCTCAGAAAATAACTCAAACGCTGTGTAGGAGGAACAAAGAAATTAAAAGTTTTTCAGATCATTTCTGCTTAGTTCTATGATAGGCATGCCTAAATAGGGTGTTTTCTTTGTCCTCTGGGCAATAACGGTTTGTCTACATTCAGAGAATTTTGCCAAGTTCCACTCAAGTGATTCTGGGAAATTCACGGTTACAATTCCGATTCCTCCTGTGTGGTCAGGCGGCGGTTCCCTTTTTCCGTGCGAGGAGGGTGTCCGTACAGTGGAGACAGGAGTAGAAATGTTGAGTTTTAGTTCGGTTTTGCCAAAAACTTATCTTCAAGGTCACGCACTTAAGAAACATTAAAAATTCTTTGAGATTGGGAGGAAAATGCCCAACTGGCCTTCGGGTTAGGACTCTTTTAGGACATCGTTATCACTGTCACCATCACCATCGCCATCTGTCACCGTCACCATCGTCATCCGTTACCGTCACCGTCACTATCGTCATCACTGTTGCCGTCACCACCTCCTGATGTGGATGTGAGCATCTGCTGAGCAACAACGCCTTTCAAAGGAAAACCCGAATGCGCTTTTAGATCATTTTTATTTCACGAATGTTTCCAAATGCTTCATTTCTGAACGTGTCTTCCTGCTTCCTCCCCCCTTTCTCCGCCAGGAAAGGCTCCCATGCCCCGGCCCCACTACAAGCCGCAGGAGCCCAACGGCTGCAGCTCCTACTTCCTGGGTCTCAAGGTACCAGAAAGTGTATGTACCGCCGCCACCGCCTCCCCGCTCACCGGTCTCACCCGCGCGTTCCGGCCGCCGCTGGTGGAGGGGCCGCTTGTAGAGCATCGTTGGCCGGTGTGATTGGGTGTTTTAAGTTGGATGCGGAGGGAGGAGATAGCTTTTAAAAGAGGTACTTGACCTGCTTTTGTCAGAGGCAGCTGCCCCTCAGAGAAGCCCTGGTAGAGTGAAATCACCATTTGAAATCACCGTTGCAAACACCCGCTGAGCCTGAGGGGGTCAAACAGAACTAAATGTGAAATAGCGCTGAGAGCTGACTGCTCTGGTGTCGTCAGGACTTCTCACGCCAAAGCAGCTGTGTTTGGGGTATTAATAATGTAGAACTTTCCAAATGCACCCTCACACCCCAACCCCCAAGAAAACCTCCATCACTGGCTAAACATTTATCGTCACACTGTAGACCATTTCTCAAACTGTAGGTCTCCCCTGAAAATAAACGATCAATTAATTTCTTTTAAGACTTCTTTAGAAAAGAGGCCCTATGTAAAATGGAGGTACAGGGATTTCACATCTGAACTGTGATTTTTTTGATTTGTATCTTAATCAGGCTCAACTTCACTTTTCTGATGATTCAAAAGATTTTACTTTGCAGTAATTTTCTAAGCAGCATAATGTTTAGTCTAAGATCCTGCTCACCCATGGGGCATTTTTATGCAAATTGGAAAGAGATCCTCTTTCCTCAGGTCAGTTTTCTTCCATTTCTCAGAAATTTATCTTTATACCAGAGGCCCGGGGCACGAAATTTGAGCACGGGTAGGGTCCCTAGGCCTGGCTGGTGATCAGGGCTGACTGGGGCCTTCCGGCTGCCTGCCAGCTGGGGCCTCCCTTCATTCAGCACCACCCCCTGGTGGTCAGCACACGTCATAGCGAGCAATCAAACTCCCAGTCTCCTGGTCGAACTCCTGAGGGGACACCTTATGTATTAACCTTTTATATATATAGATACTGATTTTGTTAGAAAAGAAAACTTGACTGTAATTGGCTAGCCATTTTGCAATAATTATGATGTCTTATGGGAAGATCTGACCCTCTTAGACCTGAGCCTCTTGTGCCTTAATCAACCTGCACAGCTGAGCACCAAACCTTGTCCACAATAGCAGAATGTGTATGGGTGCAGAAGAAAAACAATAATTTCAAATAATAAAAGGTGGAGCAAAAATAGGTTTACAGTTGTTCGTATGGAAAATAATGCAATAGTTCATAAATAATAACACAAGGATCAACTCTCTGATTTGGGTGCCTACTTTTGCCCTACTATGCATTTACATAGAGACACCACCGATTTTTGGCCAATATATTTTACCGGATACTAATTTAGTAGTTATAGAAGTGGTATGCACCATATTTTGGAAGTAATGTCATTTTGTTTGCTGACATCGAAAACTAGTTCAAGAATTTCCAATTGAATGGAATTGAATGATAGCCACTATACTCATCTAATTCTCAGTTACCTCTATTGTGATATATTTGTAGTTTTAGAGATGAGGTACAAACAAAGTAGTTTTCTTCAGGTATCAGGTAATGGGATTTACCCAGAATTGCAGAGTCCAGGCCTTTGCCTAATCTAATAATGAGTTATATGACCTCTTAATGTTGCTTAAAAGGGCATTTTATTTTATTTTTCATTTTAAAAAAATATATTTTATTGATTTTTTACAGAGAGGAAGGGAGAGAGAGAGCTAGAAGTGTCGATGAGAGAGAAACATTGACCAGCTGCCTCTTGCACACCCCCTACCGGGGATGTGCCCACAACCAATGTACATGCCCTTGACCGGAATCGAACCTGGGACCTTTCAGTCCGCAGACCGACGCTCTACCACTGAGCCAAACCGGTTTCGGCTAAAAGGGCATTTTAAACTGCCAGACTCCATATTCTGCTTTAAGTGTTCTCGGAATAAAAGTTTAAAGGAGAGAACACTTACGGAGACCTAAGGGGAAAGCACCTATAATCACTGACTATAATTCCCCAACCATGCCCTAAAGCCAGATTTCTACAGATTCCATCCAAGTTCAAGTATATATATATATCAGAAAAACTGCAAAAGATTCTAAGATGCTTTATCTATATCTAGACCCACCCTGTTTTCATCTATTTTTTTTTATTTTATTGATTGATGTGTAAGAAAGAGAGAGCAAGGTAGAGAGAGAAGGAGAGAGAAACATCAATTTGTGGTTTCACTTATTTATGCATTTATTCACTGGTTATTTCTTGTATGCACCCTGATGGGGATCAAACCTGCAACCCTGGTGTAGCAGGATGATGCTCTAACCAACTGAACTACCTGGCCAGGGTCTGTTCCCATCTATTTTTTACACAGAAAAACAATTACTCTTCTTTGATCACTCTTTGGACCACGTCCCCTCCTTGCTCAAGAGTGTTTATCAAATCTAGCTAGTTACTTTGGAAGTCAAGGTCGTCCGTCAACTAATTCTTCTCTCTAAGGCTAACTTTTTTTAAAAAAATATATTTTTTATTGATTTTAGAAAGGAAGAGGGAGAGAGAGATAGAAACATCAATGATGAGAGAGAATAATTAATCGGCTACCTCTTGTATCCCCCTGGAAATTGAGTCTGCAATCCAGGCATGTGGAGACTGGAATCAAACCTGGGACCCTTCAGTCCGCAGGCCTCTCTATCCACTGAGCAACACCAGCTAAGGCTCTGAGAAAAACTTTTTATATCTATGTATTTCCCTAGAAAGACTCTTGAAAGACTAAACAAACAAATTCACTCACAATATGATTTGCTCATTATTTCCTTTTGTTATCTGCTATGTTCTAAGGCTACCTTTAGTTCTGTTAACTCTCTCTTCATCTTCTTTCAAAATCCTTTAAAAAATTCCCATTTTATTACTTTACAGATGGCATTCTATGAATTCACTCAGTTTATGCCACATTTACAAGGGCTTATAGGACACTCCTAAACGCAGGTCCGGGTGTGCATTAGATATTGCCGTTAGACCAGAGTCCCCTGTGTTCAGGAACTGTGTCCTCTACCTGCCTCTGCTCCCCAACATGTACGCCCCCCCCTTCATTAACACAGCGCTGTATGGGGAGGGTCTCTGATAAATGAGGTGTCCTATTCATGAACTAAGGCTTCAGTTCTCATAATTCTGAGCTTTGGGATCCTTTGCTTAAACAACATCTCACATATGTTTTAGTTGAATTTGGATGTTTTGAAACTCTGCTTTCTGAACTGGCGTTCTGATTTCTATCTTCATCACCATAGTGACCTGTGAATTAACAAGTAAATTGTGATAGAAATTTAGAATCCTGACTCTCAACCTGCTGCATTCTCTCAAGTCCCTGGTGTTTCTCAGTGGATCTGAAAGTGTAGCAGGAATTTGAGAACTGGCTCGCCAAGTACACGGGCAAGGTTGCCTGAGGTCCTTGGTCTAAACGTGGCATTTTCTTCCCTCTCTTTCCCCAGATGGACTTGGGCATTCCAGCCATGACCAAGTGCTGCAACCAGCTGGACGCCTGTTACGACACCTGCGGTGCCAACAAGTACCGCTGTGATGCAAAATTCCGATGGTGCCTCCACTCTATCTGCTCAGACCTCAAGCGAAGTCTGGGCTTCGTCTCCAACGTGGCAAGTAGGTATCTTAAGGACACCTGCCCCTGAGCAGGACATTTGCTCCTGTTTTCACACAGACATGCAGCCAGAGCCCCTTCGCTCACAGCAGCCATTAATGCTCCCAGAACCTTATGGAGCGCTGAGCGATGCTCAGGCCGAGGGGCGGGGGCCGCACTCTTGGCTGACGGTCCTGCCGTCCTGCCCAGGAGCCGCTGGCGCCACTCGCGATGGCCAGCGCCACACCAACGCCTTCCCAGAGATATAAAAACGTGCCCTTTAAGGCCGGGGAAAGAGATGCCCAGCTGGCTTTAGTTACCCATTCCACTGTTAAATCATTTGCCATAAAAGGAGTTATTCTGTATGGGACCACCTGGTTTGGCTATTATTTTGTTCTCAGTCAAGAAGAAAATAAAAAAAAAACCCACAAAAACTTTTTTTGTGTAAAGGTCTGCATACGCTTGAGGATAGTTATTTTCAAAAAAAATATATTTTTATTGCTTTCAGAGAGGGAGAGATAGAAACATCAATGGTAAGAGAAATATTAATCGACTGCCTCCTGCACCCCATCTCCCCATTGGGGTTGAAACCCACAGCCCAGGCATGAACCATGACCTGGAATCAATCGTGACCTCCTGGCTCATACACAGGTCAAGGCTCAGCCACTGAGCCACCTTGGCTGGGAGAGGGTAGTTTTGTTTTGTTTTTAATGGACATTTAGCAATCTAATTTCTAGCACTGATTCTGTAAGTTTCCTTTTCCTAATTCACTTTAGGAAAAGCTTTGATCCTTTAGTTTTTGAAGCCAGAAAATCACAGCCAGGTATTAGCATTATGTATTTTTAGAGAGTGAAAGTCAGGCATCTACAGAGCCGCAGGGGTGGGGAAATCTGGGGTCTTGTTCAAAGGTCCATGCCCAGGGTGTAGCCCTAAGTGAGTCTGTGAGGACCTTGGAGGCTGGATAACTGCTTGGGCCTTGCAGAGGGAGATTCCCCATCTGTGCCTACAGGGGTGAGGAAGTGCCTGCTGCGAATCTAGGGTCAGGTCAGGCTACTTCCTTCCAGCAATGTCCTATGGATTATTTTCCCAAACATCTCTTTGGTAACTTGCCTGGTTACTGCAAATTAACTCAAACTCTGGGTCTCATAAAATTTATTCTCTCCAAAGGGACCAGATATATTTTTAAACCACAAAAATCTGGTCACCTTCATTTTCATTAAGAGTAAATCCAAGCTCCTTCATATGACAAACATACCATGGTATGTTCACCGCTAGCCTTCCTCTTTAGCATCAACTTGCTTATTTCTGATTTCTCTCCTGACTCCTGCCATTCTCAACCACTTGGGTTGATGGTCCATATCTTTCTGTTTCTGCAGTTCTCTCTGCTTGGAACACTCTTATAATCCATGTCTTATTGTTGTTCAAACAGTTTTATCAAAGGTGAAAAGCTGGAAGCTTTTCCCCTAACATTAGGAACAAGTCATGGATATCCACTCTCACCACTTATACCCAACATAGTATTGAGAATCCTAGCCAGAAAAATTAGGCCAGAAGAAGAAATAAAAGCCATCCAAGTAGGGATTTGGAAGACCTAAAACTGTCACCATTTCAGGTAACATTATATATAGAAAACCCTAAAGACTTCTCAAAAAAAAAACAAAAAACTGTTAGAACTAATAAATAATTCAGTAAAGTTGCAGTACACAAAATTAATATACAAAAATCTGTTGCATTTCTATATATTAATAACAAACTATCAGAAATATAATCTTTTAAAAAGCCCATTTATAATTGCATCAACATAATAAAATACCTAGGAATAGATTTAATCAAGGAGGTGAAAGACCTATATACTGAAAACTATAAGACTTTGATGAAAAAAATTTGAGGAAGACACAAATAAATGGAAAAGGTAGTTTGTGCTCATGGATTGGAAGAATTAATGAACTGTTAAAAATTCCATGGCACTGGTTGGTAGCTCAGTTGGTTAAAGTGCCATCCCTTTACACCAAGGTTGTGTTTCGATCCCTGGTCAGGGCATATACAAGAGGCAATGAATGAATGCATTGATGAGAATGGAGCAACAGATCAATGTCTCTCTCCCTCCCTCTCTCTAAAATCAATAAACTTTTTTTGTCATTGTTAATCATCATTAGAGGTTATTTTTCCATTGATTTTTTTTTTTTTAGTGAGTTTGCAAGGGAGGAGGAGAAACACACAGAGAGAAACATCAATGTGAGAGATGTTTGGTTGGTTGCTTCCCAATCTGGCCAGGAATTGAGCCTGCAACTGAGGTACTTGTCCTTAACCTGAATTGAACCTGAGACCTTTCAGTCCATTGGTCAACACTCTATTCACTGAGCTAAACCAGTGAGGGCTCAATAAACTTTTTAAAATGTCCATACTACCCAAAGGAATCTATATTTTTAATGCAATCCCTATCAAAATTTTAAGGGATCTGAGACCCTTCCATAATAATCCTTACCCACACAGGGATAGAGACCCTGACTGTGGGCTCCATACCATAGTGGGGTAACTTCCAATCTGGTGTGGTGTGACTATATGTTTACCTGTCTAGCCTATCCTTCTCTTTGTCCAAACTGTGAGATCCTTGAGTTGAGATCCCTTTGGCCTCTGTGTCCCTGATGCCTTATAGTGGCTGGCCAACATATCCAATAGGCACACGTGATTTTTCAACAAGTAAATGCTTATCCATCCCACAGGGAAAGCTACAGGAAACAATAGTGTTATCTGAGCAAGTATTCTGCAAAAACGGTACATTTGCCATGGAGTGAGCATAGTGATATAGAAGATGCTGATCAAAATCATGGTTTTGATCTGGAGACCCATAAAGAGAGGGCACCCCAAAATGTATTATTATTTTATTGAATGATTTTTAGAGAGATAGAGAAACAACAACTCTTTGTTCCACTTATTTATGCATTCATTGGTTATTCTTGTATGTGCCCTGGCCAGGGATAGAATCCACAAACCTAGCCTATTGGGATGATTGGGATGATGCTCTAACCAACTGAGCTACTTGGCAGTGCCCAAAATGTATTCTGCTCTACGGATTGGAGAAAAGCTTTTCTGAAAACAAACAAACAAACAACCCCCCCCCCAAAAAAAAACACCCCAAAAACAAAAACACACAACACCACCAAACTCCTTTCCTTTGAATCCTGTATTCAGATTATTGCCTGTACTTTCCTCTGGGTATCATGCCAATCTTGGAACTACATTGACCCGTTAAAATTATTCATGCTACTTGGGGGCAGTTCTATGTATTAACCTTTCTGCTTCTCTACATCTTTTTCAAACAGCATGTGATTCTCTGGCTGACACCGTGTTTAATACCGTATGGACCCTGGGCTGCCGACCCTTTATGAATAGTCAGCGGGCAGCCTGCATCTGCGCAGAAGAGGAGAAAGAAGAGTTATAGGGAAGGTGTTTCCTTTTTGGTTTGAGTGGACACCACGGCCGTCAGTCTCGGAGATGGTAGTGTGGCAGATGTGTGTCATACTTTCTTCCAAGAGTTTGGATGCCACCAGGCAGGAGAAAGGAGACAGCCTACAGCTGAAAAGCAAGTCCCATCCTTTGAGGATAATTGGGGAAAAAGACGTGAACTGAAGGCTGCTTGTCGCTTTAACACTGGTCCCTCCAACCAAGACACATTTGCCTGGAAATTCAGTTCTTAAAGACTAAAATAAAGACTAACTACTGGGATTCTTGGACTCGATCATTCTATTCACAAGTGAAATTTTGGAGAGTCCAGCCATTTGGGAGGCAATGACTTGCCTCGGGTCCATGTTTCAGTTGCCAGTGAGCATCCCACATATAATAAAGTGTACTTTCTAGAACATTTGAAAAGAGATGCATGAATCTCACTATCACCAACACGCTTCCTTTTTCACTTAGAAGAAAACAGAACCAGCCCGGTAAGTTCCCTCAACGATACGTTCTTCCCGCTGGTGCCGAAGGGGCCGGAGCCCGTGGGCAGAGGCTTACCCGACCGAAGCCGTGGAGGCCGAGAGCAGGGGGAGTCTCGTCTCTGAGGTTCCATTTTTTTCACTCAGTTGATACCCCCCAGTGCTCGGTGGCCTCCATGTCATGTGAAGGTCTGAGAAGCACTGGGTAGAAACTGCCATTAAAGATAACTTGGAAAAACCCCTAAAAGCTGAGGGGCAGGAGAGACAAATGGCCGTTCCCCAAAGAGTTATGGAAATAACCGTGCCCACGTGTGTGCGTGGCTGCTCCCGGGCTGAGAGCCGAGCTGTGGCAGAGACGGCCCGGCCCAGAAAGGCCAGCACAGGTACCAGGAGGCCCTTACAGAAAAATTCGGCAAACCCCTGATGGAGTTCACTCTCCTCTCCTTTCCTCTTGTTAATATCACTGGTTCCATTAAGGATGGTCGATGGCAGCCATTTCTAAAAAGCAAAAGAAGAAAAGTTGTTTTCTGATCTTATGCAAACCCATGAAATTAATTGGCGTATTAAGAAATTGGATTTAACTGCAGATCAAATTTATCTCTGTGATTTATTTCAATAAAATTAATGAAGCACCTACAAAATAGAGCATGGTGTAATTTTATACCTTTTTCTATTCACGTATCCGTCTGAGGACACAGAATGCCAAATAACAGCATATGACACCACATTTTAATTTTATCTAAAGTTGTCATCGAACCACCTAAATGCATGGTAATGAATTTAATAACATTTATTAATTGAGGATATTTCTTAAGACAACACAAAAATGTCAAAAGAAAATATTGTGCGAGAGAAAAACCAAATAGTATTTTTAGTACACACTTACACGGATAAACTTCTGAGTCCCCGGTAACTATTCTGTATTTGAACTGAAATTTCAGGGTACAATATTATTTACATATTTAAGGGATCATTGGGTATTTAAGTCATCGTTTCAAGCAACTATTTGACTTTTTTAATTCCTTAATTTGAAATGTCATGCCCAACTTCTGATTGGCTGGTTTACTAAGAAGGCGGTTGACTGCAGAAAAGCAATGGGGGATCGGTGAGCTGCCTTCTGTGTGGCAGCATAGCTTTGACCTTGGGAGGATGCAGCCCTGACCGGGTCAGGCGGGTCAGCAGTGAGCCAGGTCAGAGGGAGCCAGTCCGGAGGTCCGTCCACACCCACACGTGGTGTTTAAAGGAGGGCAGGGATCTAGCGTTGACCGATGTCCTCAGAGGTCACGGGAAGAAGCTCCAAGCAGGTGGGCAGCCGGGAGCCAGGGCTGGGCGGTCCGAGTCCTAGTCCTCCCAGTCGATGTGGATTGGGCCGCCTGTCAGCACCTGGCTCTGCAGACCGGCGTCCTCTCCGGGGTGCAGGGCGTCCTCCCCGGGGTGCAGGGAGTCCTCCCCCGGGTGCAGGGAGTCCTCCCCCGGGTGCAGGGCGTCCTCCCCGCGGGCCGCCCGCCGCGCCCTCCGGTGGCAGCCCTGGGCGCAGCGGGAGTGCTCCTCCAGCCGCCCGCACACCAGCACCCGGCAGTGCAGGAACACCTCCTGTGAGAGCAGAACCACGGTCACAGCGATCGCAGGCACCGTGCCACATACCTCCTGTATGTCATCTCATGTCGTCTAAACAACACCCTTTGAGGCAGATGCTGTCATGACCGTTTTTACGGAGGAGGAAACAGGGAGAGAGGGAGGGAATTTGCCCAAATTCACACCCAGCCATGCGGCAGACAGAGAGTCCTCGGAGACTGAAGACACCGCAAGGATCCACTGGTGTGGGGCCAGGAGAGACCTTTGTGTGGGCAACACCCAGTGACCCCAGTATCTTCCTTCCTGCCTCAGAGGGAGGCATGCCATCTGCTCGCAGGCACCTCTGTGTCAGGCTGGTCCTTCCTCCCAGCTCCTCCTGCAAGTGGCTCTCCAAGCAGCTGCTGGCTGAGGAGGGACCCAGGACTCCCCATCACAGTGGGCCCTCCCTGGGCGGGGATGTAGCAGGGAAGGACATCAATGCACTTGTGTGCAGCGTGGAAAAGGTCACTGGTCTCTGGAACTTTTTGTTGAAATGTTTCAACAACTCTATTCAAACAAAAACCTTTCACCTTACCCTATGATAGATAGCTGCTTATAACCTCTGTAGCCAGGTATGTACATTTAAAAAATGTAGCATTTCAACACAAATGTAAATTATCATGACAAGTCTTTTCATGTCTCCCTTTTCTATATTTCCATATTTCTATACCACTTCAATAACTACCTAACACTGTGCTAATCGATATACTGCAGCCCTGTTTGTTTGTTTGTTTGTTTGGGGGCTTTTGTTCCCCAACTCTCCTTATACAATGCTCTATAAACACATCCAATTAAGTCTTGTTTTTCTTCTTTTGCTTGCTTGATTTTGAGAAATTGTCAGAATTGGAATTTTTAGGAAAAAGAACATGATTATTTTATGGTTATTATTAAATATTGTCAGGCAACTTTTCAGAAAGTATACCAATTTATAAGGCCACTGTATACTTTTTATAATTTAGAGTATTGTGATTTATAATTTTTATACATTAACTAGAGGCCTGGTGCACAAAATTCCTGTACAGGGGGAGGGGGGTCTCCTCAGCCCAGCCTGCACCCTCTCCAATCTGGGACCCCTTGGGGGATATCTGACTGCCAGTATGAGCTGGTTTAGGGGGTTGGGCACAGCGGGAGCCCACACAATCCAGGATCTCTCACAGTCCAGGACCGCTGGCTCCTAACTGCTGGAGGGGGACATCTGACTGCCGATTTAGGCCCAATCACCTAAACCAGCCTGGTTGCCCCCAACTGCCCTTCCCCACTTGCCTGGTTGCCCCTTACTGCCCCCCTCTGCTGGCTTGGTCATCCCAACTGTCCCCCCCCCGCCCCCCCACTGTTGGCCTGGTCGCCCCAGGCAGCCTGCTGTTTGGTTGTTACTATGAGGGCATCCTGACCAATTTGCATATTACCCTTTTATTAGTATAGATATGTATAAATAGAGTCTTATAATGGTTTTAATTGGCATTTTAAGTACCACTTTCACTCAATATTTCACTGGTTGTGTTTTCTGTGAATTTCCTGTGCATACTTTTTGCCATGTGACCATAATTCAGGCTTTTTCACCCAGACCTGCCCACAAGGATTTAAACTTGTGATCATCTAGTACTTTCTTTGAACAAACACAGCTATGGTATTGGGAGGGGCCGATATTACGACATTCATGAAGGTGCTAAGCTTTTGGATGGCCAGTTTTGTAGCATTTTCCTTAGAGGTAATGCGGATTGTAACTGTGGCTCAGAGAATGTCACCAAGTTGGGATAGTAAGAGGGAAGGCTCAGGGAGTGGGCTGGAGGGTGGGCTCACTCACCTTGTGGTCTTTGCCCACAAACTTGAAGACAGGGACCTGGAAGTGCTTCGCTAGGTGATCCCGGGAGGTGTACTGCTTCACGGAGTCATCTGAAACACAGCTGGAAGCAGGCAGGGCGGCACGTCAGACTCGATTGCTTAAGCAGAGGTGGAAAATTAACCCCGGCCAGCGTGTCTGGTCCAAGGAGAGGGGGCCTGGGTGGAGGAGGCTGGGCTGCGCTCAGGCTTTTTGAGAATGAAGGAAAAAGGAAATTCCCTTCAGACTCAGCCCTGCTCATTAGCACTGCCTGTCCCATCTGTCACTCTGCCACAAACTGGCACAAGGACCTCTGGCTAAGTCAGTGTATTGAAGTGTTAGCAACAGCAGCAACGTTTATTTCAAAGGTACCTTTTGTGTTTTTAACTGTAATATGTTGCGGGATTTCTGCATTCCCATACTTTATTATTGGTTTGAGAAGGCCTTTCCTTAGATTTCATAAATAGTTATGAATACCTAATAGATAGTTCACCCCTGAAGGGAATTCAAGGGTGAGCCAAACGCCAATTCTTGCATCAAAGAGCTGCATGAAGATCCAAGTTTCTTAGAGAATAAATAGCTGGTTCTTTTGGGGAAAAGTCATTCACTTCCAAATTGTTTTAATTCTTCTTCCCAAATGTAACACGAAGTTGTAGGTTGGCGGGGTTGTGGGGTTTGAATCTCAGATCTCCTGCTGAAAGGGAACTCCTGGGCTCACCCCAAGGTCAGCTGGGAAAAGAAGTATTATGGATTCTCCAGTTGGAGGCCAAGGGTTAGCATTACAAACTTTTTCTCCTTAAAGATGAGAGGCCGAGGGTCACACTGGTAGTATCATTTCCATTATGGAGTCTAAATGAACTTTCTTCTTATAAGTACATCTTTCTTTTTATGGATACCTAATAGCTCCCGTCTACCAGCCCAGGGGAAAGAAAAGCCTGTGAAACCGGATGCCTGCTCCTGGTGCTAACAGGCCATGTGCTAGGAATTGCTAATTGCTCTTTCAGTGCAGTAAAAAGGCCAATAAAATTGTTTAAAAATAAGGCATCTTGACTTGTATTTCTATTACTAGCTTATTCCTCTGAATTGAAGAGGACCTAAACATATAATGAATTTCTATTATTTCTTGTGTTAATTTTCGTTTTTCTTAGGTGAAATTAATTTTTATCATCTTCTAATCATGGTCTATGATAAATCCTATTGCACATCTAATCTGTGCAATACACTCTGCTGGGTGCTGCAGAGGATATAAAGGTGAATAATATGGCCTATGAAATCAAGAGCTTATAGTCCAATGTTTATTATAATAATGTAACAATATTAAAATGGCATTTTTACTAAGTGTTTTAGCATTTTCAAATTTTCTTCATCTGAAAGCAGTAGGGGCTGGGAAATTGGGAATAAAAAAAATAAAATAAAGGCCCTGGCCAGGTAGCTCAGTTGGTTAGAGTATTATCCTGATACATCAAGGTTACAGGTTCAATCCCTGGTCAAGGCACATACAAAAATCAACCAAGGAAGGCATAAATAAGTGGAACAACAAATCAGTGTTTCTCTCTCTCTCTATCTCTCTCCCTGCCTCTCTCTCTCTCTAAAAATCAATTATAAAAATAAAATAAAATAGCCCTGGCCAGTGTACTTAGTGGTCAGAGCATCAGCCTGCCACTGAAGGGTCACAGGTTTGATTCCCAGTCAAGGGCACATCCCTGGATACAGGCTTACTCTCCTCTCCTTGTTGGGGTGATTGCAAGAGGCAATCAGTTGATGTGGCTCTCTCACATTGATGTTTCTTTCTCTCTCTCTCTTCTCTACCCCCACTCTCTCTGAAAAAAAAAAAAAAAAAAAGCAATGGAAAAATATATATCCTCAGGTGAGGATTAACCAAAAAACCAAACAAAAAATAAAAATGAATTGAGATGTATTTACAGTGTAAATATACACTAGATTTCAAAGACTTAGCAGTGTAAGTAAAATAATCACTAATATAGTTTTATTGATTAGATGTTGAAATGGTAATATTTTGGAGAAACTTGGTTGAATAAAATATACTCTTAAATTTAAAAATAAATAGAAATACTACACTTTTTCTTTAAAAGAGAAAATGAGTCAGAAAGAGCTGTTTCTGGGTAACACATTGCAGACTAAGACCCAGGACAAATTCTGGCTCTTGAGTTGGTGTTTACTGTGATTAGATAATGCTAGTCCTATCAGCTTTAAGTTCACTAAACGAAAGGCCAATGACATATGACAATCCAAAGAAATTGATCATCCAAAAGTTGCCCAATATTTGACTTTGGAATTCAATAGATTTCTTCTTTTGGAGGTTAATTTTCTAATTCTGCTTTCCTAGGCTGGTATGAAATTATTTTGCATTCTCAGAGCACACATCAACTCACACTAGAGGGAGGTGAGTCATGTGTTAAATATCAGGGGAAACCAGCCTCATTTAAATTTACGCTGAGGACCATGAATCATCTAACAATTTATAAGTGTGACATTATGTTTATTTAAGGGCTCTGCACTATTATGATACTTATGCAAAGACTCCTTAGACTCCATAGTTACAGAAAACAGACTGATTCCTGTCAGAGAGGGGTGGAGGTTGGGGGGCTAGGTGAGAAAGGTGAAGAAATTAAGCAAAAAACGAAGAGAGACTCATGAACACAGACAACAGAATGGTGATTGTCAGAGGGAAGGGGGTGTGGGAAGAGGTAGAGGAAGGCAAATGGGAGATAAATGGAGATGGGAAATAAAATTAAAAAAAAAATAATCCATTAGGCAAATATTCAGTGGTCCTCACTCTAGGCTAGGCACTGAGGAGGAAGTAGAAGGAAGGATGGTTTCTAGTCAGACTGGAAGGAATCCAGGAAGGCTTCCTGGAGGAAATAACCGGTAAAGACTACACAGGAAGAAAGACATCAGGCAGAGGGAATGGCAGGCGCAGAGGCAGGAGGGTGTAAGGAACAATAGAGTTTGGGACTTGCTCACAGCTCCCTCCGGCTTGAGCAGAAACTGGAGAAGGTAGAGGTCAGAGGGGGAGGCACAGTGAGGCACGCTGAGAGCTGAGTTTTATTTTGTGGGATTAATCCATGTGCCCAGTACTGTGTCCCACTACTGTGCTGGAGATGGAACTCTGCCTGTTTACTAACGTGGCCCACACAGCTGTCTTTGAGTTCTTGCCTTCTACTTTTTAAGCATTTTAATGTCTTCCACAGCTTTCTTTTTTCTGCTCTGTATGCACTGAGGGCTGGAAAATTAAGTAGCACAGTTTCTTAGAACTGTCTAAATAAAAGATGTCCTCAGCTGAGAGTCTGAATAATGAATATATTAATAAACTTCACAAGTTTAATTGAGGTTGCAGATTACATGTTTTCCCAGTAAGTGAAGAATGATTATACATTTATTTTTGCAAAGGAAATATGAGGCAGAAGAGAACTCTTGTTGTTAGGGAAATGCTCACTATTTTGAAGGTAGTCATAGCTTCATGAATATATACAAACTGTACACTTTAAATACGTGTATTAATTGTTTGCCAATAGTACTCCAATAAAACTGTAAAAAATAAAAATAAAAATAAAAAAGGAGCCAAAATCCACTCTTCTCTCCAAAGGAAATCAATTCCCTAATCTACATTGCATTGAGTATGTGAATAAAATAAATAAATAAATAAATATATAAATAAATAAATAAGGATACTTCTACTTTTCCTTTTAAAACTTTCTGGAGATCACTCTAAGATGGCAATAATTCCAAAAGACTCCGCAGTGAGGCCTGTTACTGCCATCCGAAGCAGCTCGGAATGACAAATTTCCATATTCTAAAAGCACGCCGAGAGACGCCAGGACTCTGAAGCCAGAAGCATTCCCGCTGGTGAACAGTTACATTTACCAACCAGAGGAAATCAAAGCCATTAAAAAGTTTTCAGCAGGGGCGTGACAATCTGTATGGTTTCCTTTGGAATGGCTGCCCAGGGACCCTGGAGCCCACAACTGAGTTAGGAGGCTGTGTTGGAAGATAACGAGGGCTGGACTTAAGTCAGTGAGAGTGGAAGAGAGAGAATGAGGTCTGGGCTTTGTGATTATTATTTTAAAATATATTATTAAAATATATTTTTATTGGTTTCAGAGAGGAAGGGAGAGGGAGATAGAGAAGCATCAATGAAGAGAGAGAAGCATCGATCAGCTGCCTCCTGTGTGCCTCCCAGTGGAGATGAAGCCTGCAACCTGGGCGTGTGGCCTGGCTGTGAACTGAACCATGATCGCCTGGTTGACACGCAAACACTGAGCCACACCAGCTGGGCTTTTTATTTAAAAAAAAAAAAAAAATTTCCTAATGTGCATCAGGGATTGACAATCACTTAGCAAGAGACTGTTAGCAGCAGAGGTGAGAGATGTGGAGAAGTGCAAGCAAAGCAGATGTTTCGAAGGGTCTACGGGGCCAGGTGGTGGGGTGCACGGCAGGGGCACACTTGCTGTGGTCTTAGGAGGCCATTTCCCTTACACCGCAGCCCCCGCCCTGCCTGAGACATGCCTCCTGACAGGAGGACAGGGAAGACACGGGAGCTGCCCCTGTGAGTGTGGGTGTCCGTGTGCACACTCTGGCCACGCGAGCAAAGGGCGTGAACCGCTGAGCTCCCAATCGCACCCTGAGACACACACGGTTCTTACTAGCAATCCAAGGAGCCCTAGGAGATAAGAAGTCCCCTTGGCAAAAGCAAGCCAACAAAAGTACATCGGCCTGATCTTTCTTCTCCTAAAAGCTACCAACCACTTCTTCGTTAATCCAGCGTCTGAGACGAGGCGTCTACACTCGCTGCTTCCAGCTCCTCCTCCCCTCGCACTGGGCAGCCCCACCTGGCACTCACGCTCTGCCCTCTCGGAGCAGGTGAATCAGTCCCACAGCTTCCACCACAGACGGGGCACTCTCGCTTTTCCCTTCGGTCCTGACCTCGTTCCCGGGTCTGATATGCATTTCCCAGTGCCCCCTGACCTCTCTTCCTGTGCATCCTGCTGCTGGCGTTTGCAATTCAATATGGTCATTCAGAATGACCACACTCAATATTTTAACCTCACATCTGCTTTTCTACTTACACCCTCTTGTCTTGATGAATGGCATGTAGGTGGTCATCTGAGCCAGATCCCTTGGAGTCATTTCTGACTCTCCTCTCCCCCTCCCCAGTTTCCACCTCCAAAATGTCAATAGGCGGTTCCTGAATTACTTAAGAGCTGGCCGGAGTGCCGAGTCATTCTGGGAAAGCACCGAGTCCATGTGTGCACTTAGAGGTCGGACGTGACCTGGGAGGAATACACCGGTTTCAGCCAAAACCGGTTTGGCTCAGAGGATAGATAGAGCATCGGCCTGTGGACTGAAAGGTCCCAGGGTCCATTCCGGTCAAGGGCATGTACCTTGGTTGCGGGCACATCCCCAGTGCGGGGGGTGTGTGTGTGTGTGTGTGTGTGTGTGCAAGAGGCAGCTGATCGATGATTCTCATCGATGTTTCTAACTCTCTATCCCTCTCTCTTCCTCTCTGTAAAAAATCAATAAAAATATATTAAAAAAAGACACAAAAAAAAACACAAACACGCGGGTTAAGCCGCGCCATTACCCATCCCGGATGAGGTAGTGCTTGAGGATCTCGTCGATCTTGGACGTGGGGGTGGCGAAGCAGCTCTCCACCAGGCTCTCCAGGCCGCTCACGTGCACCAGGGGCTCGATGCCGAAGTAGAGGGAGTCCCGGAGCTTGAGGGAGGGCAGGGCCTCCCGGTAGGGCTGGGCGAACGCGCGGTCCCGGAAGATCTCCAGCGTGAAGGGGAAGACGCCGCGGCTGCGGCCCCGGAGCTCCAGGGGCGCGCTGCGCAGGTTGGGCACGTAGCCCTCGGAGATGGTGTAGAGGCGCGGGAACTCGCAGGTCACGGGGATCAGCAGCTTGCTGGTCCGGATGATGATGTCCCCGCTGCTCCCGGGCGTCTGCTTGGGGAGCCCCGTCACCAGGTTGCTGGCCACGATCTTGTCATTCACCACCTGAGCCCGGGCCCGGGGCGGAGAGAGGAGAGAGAGGTTACTTACATTCATCCCTACAGTTTCCTCCCCTCCTCTTCTTCAGAACCGGCTCCAAACCTCAAGGCACGTGAGACATTGGGCTGCGGGAGCCTGGAGCTTTTCAGTGATTCTTTGCAAACTGCTTCATGGTCCACCCCCACATTCCTCAGGAGTGCTACTCCCAAAGGCTGAGCTGGGCAGGATCAGCACATTCAAAGCTCCAGTGTTTTCGGAGAGAGCGGCCTCTGCGTGTTATTTTTTCTGTAATCCCAGGCCTGGGGATCCCGCTGCGGCGCGCCCTCACGCTGGCCTCATCGGCCTGCAGAACCTCAGCGGCCGCGTGACTTTCAGCTCTTTATGCCCAGCCCCGCCTGACGCCTCCCGGGCACGTCCCTGCGGCTATGCCCAGAGAATACACACAGCTCGCCTAAGCTCACCGCCTTCTCCTGGGACGTCTCCTCCACAGCTCACCCCAGGGCTTAACAGCACTCTGATTTTTCATCTTAATCACATTAAAAAAAACAAAACCCATTTGTTTAAATGATGACAAGGGCCTCTGCACTGATCCCCAGGACCCAGTCCTCTTTCCCCGCTCCTTCTGATGTCATCGTCACCACCGGGCCTGCTGAACCCCAAGTCCTCACCCTAGCGCCCAAGGCAGATGTCTGGGGGCACCTCTCTTCCAGCTTTCTCCCCCCAAACGAGTTCCTTGTCAGGGAGGCCCCAGAGACCAGCATACGCGTGGGGATTCCCGTCCCTGGGACTTGCTCATGCGTGTCCCATCTGAATGCCCGTTCTGCTCTCCGCCTGTCAACCACGTGCAACCCCACTCATGCTCCCACCCCCGTGCAAGTCCTGCTTGCCGTGGCTGCTCCAGGTCTGTCCCTTCCTGGCTTCCGACAGCCCCTCTCGCCTGGAACACTAACTCTTTTATGTTATGTTTTGTGTGCATCGTCACCTCAATACGACTGTATATGTTTCTAAATGCTGAAGCCGGTTTGGCTCAGTGGTTGGAGTGTCGGTCTGTGGACTGGAAGGTCCCAGGTTTGATTCCGGTCAAGGACATGAAACTTGGTTGCGGGCACATCCCCGGTAGGGGGTGTGCAGGAGGCAGCTGATTGATGTTTCTCTCTCATCGATGTTTCTAACTCTCTATCTCTCTCCCTTTTCTCTGTAAAAAATCAGTAAAATACATTTTTAAAAAATCAGGAATCTCTATTTCATATCCCTGAGGCCTCCCAGCAGAGGGAGGCGCACAGGTTCCTGGATGAAAGTGCAAACCTTCTGCCTCCACGTGGCTCAATGCTTGGGCTCATTGCTGCCTCATCAATGGGCCTCGGTCGCTTTCTTCAGGTGAGGAAACACCGGTGCTGATGCACTCGGGACAGTGTCTACACACGTTGGAGATCAGGCAGTTTGAGAACAGAAATAGTAGAATTCGTTTTAACTTCCTATCCCCGTGGCGCCAGGACCACAGCTCCTGGGCAATAATAGATGTGTTAAACGAGTGGCGTTAGATTTTTTGAAATCCCTTCTTTCCTATGGAAATAGTTCCTCTCAGACAAGCCGTACCGCATACCCCTGTCCACCCCTCCCCAGGGACCGGCTGCTGGTCACTCCCCGGGCCCGGGAGAACCTACGTCGACCACCGTGCCGCACGTCCTGAGGGAGAAGACGATGTTGACGTGGGTGCCGTTGGACAGGCCCCGGCAGGACGTGTTGGTCAGGAAGAGCTCCAGCCCGCCCACCAGGTCCCGGGGCACGCTCACCTCGATGGTGCTGGTCTTGCACAGCACGGGGACTGCGGGGAGAGGGGCTCCTGTTACACCGAGAGCCCAAGCGGAGGCTTCTAGAAGAATTCATTTCACCCCCGTGCAGGCTCAGCTTTCTGTTCCCTCCTCAAGGAAATCTATAAGCAGGTTGGTGAATACAACCGGGACTCCTGCCTCCCAAAGCCGTGGTCAAATGATGCTCCGGAGGATATTACCCCCAGATGAGGAGCGTATGTTCATTTCAAAGTATGGCTGACATGACTCCATGAACTGAGACACCCGGAGGACTAACCTAGCACAAACACAATTTATTGGCAATTCAGAAAACGACTGCTTTGATGCAGGCTTACATTATATAATGGCACCGCTTTGACTTTACCATTAATTACTGCTCCATAAAGCAGGTAATAAAAGCAGTGTTAATGCACTTGGGGAGGAGTTCCGAATTGTCTTTGTTCAGTAAACCATTACCCTGGCTATAAATTCCACTTTCCCTGAATATAAAAAGGTTGCTTTTCCTCAGGGTTCCAACTCTACAGACACCCTCAAAGGAATGTGTATGGGTACTGTCTGGAAATACGTGAGGAGAATATCAATATTTGAGGACATATTATAACAAATGGTATAGTAAAAAGAAATCAGAGATAGTTGCTCATTAAAAAATTCTTGGATGAATGAAATGATGTTCTGGACAGAAATAACCAGGTTTCCAGAAAACAGTTCTCAGAGGAGTGTTGAGGCTCCTGTTGTAACTGCAGGGAAAGGAATCAGTTCTCTAGGGCTTCCAACTTAGTTTCACAGCCCAATAACCTGCTAGGAAACAGAAGAACTGTGTTGTGTCTCACACTTCTAAACTGAGTTTTAGTTTTACAATTAGTAACAGAAATTAGAGTGGCGAGGGGGAATCAAAGATGAAAAAGCAAAGGAAACCAAATGATCTAGAAATCCCATTTCTGGATATTCATGGAGAAGAATGACAAGCAGGATCTCAAAAATATATTTGCACGCCCACACCCCTAGCAGCACCGTTCACAATCGTCAAGAGGTAGAAGCAACCCAAATGCCAATCCATGAATGACTGAGTAAACAAATGTGGAATATCCACACACGGGAATATTGTCCTTCTTTAAAAGAAAGAAAATCCTGTCACATGCCACAACATGGATGAGCCTTGTGGCCATATGCTAAGTGAAATAAATCCGTCATAAAAAGACAAATACTGTATGCTGGGGGAGAGGGAAATGGGAAGTTGCTGGTTATTAGTTAGTGTAGAGTTGCAGATTGCAAGGTGAACAAGTTCTGGAGATGTGTTAGATAGCCATGTGCCTATACTTAACACTACTGAGCTATACACTTAAAATTGGCTTGGATGGTACATTTTATGTTAAATATTTTTCACCACACTTTTTAAAAAAGCAAAGTAAATTTTTTTTTTTTATGTAATCTTTTCTTAGGTCATTTCTTGTTTGTATGTTTCCAGAATGAAGATGCAGGGACACGCACTGCTGAAAGAGCTGGCGTCCAAAAAGATGAGAATCTCCGGGCGAGGACGGCAGGGAGCCGGGCGGGGAGAGGAAGCGTGAACCGGAGCAGAGGTCCAGCCCCTGCAAGCACTACCTTGGCAAGTGTGGTTGTCCTCAGACAGCACCAGGCCCCGGGGGCATTCACACTGGTAGCCCTGCTCGGTCACAAGGCAAGAATGGCTGCAGCCGCCATTGCTGTTGTGGCATCCTTCAATGTCTGCAATAAAAAAGGAAAGAACAGGGGATAACCGTGGAGCCCTCCTTCCCCGAAATTCTGGTGCTTGGGATGGCACTTGGCATCAGGGGGGTGGGGGGGCGGGGAAGGGGGCCTTCACTTACCTCGTCACAGCATCACTGGGGCCTAACAGTCACTGAGAAGCAGGAAAGCCCACAGCACTCGTGTATGAAATGTTATAGCTACAAAGAGCAATCTTACAACACCCACAGCTCTACCCACTTAAGCTGGTCATTTTGTAGAATGGCCTTCAATCTGGACTTGTTACTATGGTTACTATGTTTGTGGGGAATGAAGACCCAAAGTCATTTCTTAATTGCTGTAATATTTGGTTCACTCAATTCAAAGTACTATTGATGTAAAAGAAACAGAATAGAATTTGATTGGACCGGCTAGATGGATCGGAGTTCTTGCCAGTTGGTTGGATTCCCAGTCCTTCTGTTTCCCCTTTGCTGCTGTAAACCATTTGTTATGTTACCCACCTCTGTCACCTTGCTACTCCCGGTGTGCTCCTTGGAGTCAGAGCATAGGTGTCACCTTGAAGTTAGTTATTTAGAAATGCAATATGTTGGCCCAAACCCAGACCTAAACCAGAATCTGCATTCTGACAAGAACCCAGGTGATTTGTGGGCACATTAAACACTGAGAAACACAGAATACCCAGTTTTATTTTCCAAATATGTGGCTCTTTACCTCTTGCAAAATGCAACTCCCTTCTTTGAAACCTTGGAGACAAAATTAACGGTAACTTCTATCTGCAGGTATCCTTGACGATGAAGAACCCCTCTGTGCTCCCCTTGCACAGCCACACTGCTCCTCTCTCTGACGGGGGCAGTCTCGTGAGCAGCCGAGAATAAGCCAGTGGCCTGGGCTCTCGATGTGAATCCTTCTCACCCATTCTCACCTTCGCAAGTCTTGCCATCACTTCTCAGCACACGGCCAGCCCCACACTCACAGCGATAGGAATTCTTGAGGTTTACGCAGATCTCACTGCAGCCACCATTGTTCTGCTCACATTCGTTTTCATCTGTAGAGAAGAAACACGCCACTTACATGGTGCTGAGCGACTTAGTCTCTCAGCCCCCTTGGCAGAACCTCCGCATCCTTTCAGTTCCTGCCGATACACATTCCTCAGCCCAGCCCCCTGGCTGAGTCCAGCCTCATCACTTCTATCAGCCAGGATTCCTCAACCGTTATTTGTCCATCTGCCTCCTGCGGAAGCAGAAGGCACCTACTTTCTTATCAATTCCCTCCTAAGGGCAAAGCTGTGAGGAAATAAAATCCCTTTTGTCACCTACGCTCACCTATTTATTTGCATTGGGGAGCCTCGCTTTCTCCAATGAGCTCCTGAAGATTTGCCAAATGAATAAAAACTTATAAATCAAATCTTGTTTTATTTATTTAAAAAATATATTTTATTGATTTTTTTACAGAGGAAGGGAGAGAGATAGAGAGCTAGAAACGTCGATGAGAGAGAAACATCGACCAGCTGCCTCCTGCACACCCCCTACCGGGGATGTGCCCGCAACCAAGGTACATGCCCTTGACCGGAATCGAACCTGGGACCTTTCAGTCCGCAGACCGATGCTCTACCCACTGAGCCAAACCGGTTTCGGCTCAAACCGTGTTTTAAAGGCACTAAAGGGACATACATTGCAGGAGAAAACATCTGACATTTCTGAGGCAGTCTTCTGCCATACATGAGCGACTGCCCTCGACATTTCTCTTCACTGTTGGAATAGTCTCACATTGCATATCATGACTGTTAAGTCATTGGAAGAATCTGATGAAAGAAGGGACTCTTGCCATAAAAAAAAAATGCACAACTGGCAATAAATGTCGACCCCCCTCCTTCTACAAACAAAAGAAAAGGAAGCGTGGAGCTAAATCGGTCAGGGCTTGGACCTAGGACCTAAGCCAGGGACCGGGGCTTGAACACCCCGAGGCGGCAGGAAGCAGGGCCTTAGGTCCGGGGAGGAGCTAACGGGAGCTGACACCCCATCCGGGGCCCTGGCAGCAACAACAGTGACATCAGAAAATGTTTGCCATGAAACACTAACCACGAGGAAATAATTGCCTACAAGAGAGAGTGGGCAAGATAACAAACAAGGGGCTTTGGATCGGAGATAAACAAAATGATCCAGAAAAATCCATCGGTATGAGGTTTTAAAAAAATCACCACACAGATTAAAGGAAGGATGGTTGCCCAGCTGGTGTGGCTCAGTGGTTGAGCCCCAACCCATGAACCAAGAGGTCCCTAGTTCAAGTCCTGGTCAGGGCACATGCCCAAGTTGCAGGCTCGATCCTCAGTAGGGGGTGTGCAGGAGGCAGCTGAATGTTTCCATGTATCCCTCTGCCTTCTTCTCTCTAAAAAATCAATAAAACATGTTTGTTGTTTTTTAAAAAAAAGAAAGAATAGCAACCAAAATAAGTGTGTAAAAGGATAAGACAAAATTGAGAAACAAACATGCTGAGCTTAAAAACATAGTAGCCGAAACCGGTTTAGCTCAGTAGATAGAGCGTCGACCTGCGGACTGAAAGGTCCCAGGTTAGATTCCGGTCAAGGGCATGTACACTTGTTGTGGGCACATCCCTAGTCGAGGGGGGGGGGTTATGCAGGTGGCAGCTAATTGATGGTTCTCTCTCATTGATGTTTCTAGCTCTCTATTCCCTCTCCCTTCCTCTCTATAAAAAAAAAAAGAAAAAAAATCAATAAAAAATATTTTTTAAAAACACACATGGTCATTGAGATGAGAACCTTCAGTGGGTGGGAAGAGGCACTGGCGGCCCTCCTGGAGGTGGCCACCCCAGTGCCAGGGCCGGCCTCTGTGGCAGGGCTGACCTGCTTACTGATTGTTTTATGTGCAGGAGAAATGAGCTTCTACGTGTTTAAGCCACTGTTATTTAAGCCATTGTTATCTGGGGGCCTATTGTTGTTTACAGCCTGACTCTGATCCTATGCCCAGCAATTCCACTTTCATGGGGTAAGGTATAATTTTTATGTTCATTTTAAGAACACACAAAGCGCTGCTACATATTGTTATGGGTACATAGATGAATAATAAAAGCATAAAAGCAGGGACCAGCAGGACACGCACCAACTTCAAAACACTGACTCCCCCTGGAGGGTGAGAGAGAAAAGTGAGATGTACTGAGATGACTTTACTTGTATCTGTTAAATTTTATTTTAAAAGAAGAGAAAAACTTAACTATAGTCAACTCTGGGTACATGAGTATCTGTTATATTATTTTCCTATACTCTTCTCTCTGCCTGAAAAAAATTACATAATTGAAACTAAGTAATATAAATTATATTACATCATGCATAACCAATGGACACAGATGCTGGGGTGGTGGCGGCTTGGCCGGGGTGGGAATGGCTGGGTGGGGTGTCAACTGGGGGAAAAGGAGACATATGTAAAACTTTAGACAATAAAAAAATAAAGAAAAGAAACAAAAAGAAACAAGGAGACACAAAATGGGCCTTCTAGATGAGAAGTGGCCGGGCCCTGATGGTGATGACTGCACTGATTCCACACTGAGATTCCATATGGTGGTGGCGGGGGAGGTGGTGGGGGAGGAGCAGGCAGAGATCAGATTGTGAAAGACTTTGTACACCAGACATTTGAACATAATTTTGAAAATAGAGGGAGCCATGGAAGGTTCTAGAGCACAGGATTGCCATATGTCATCTACAGTTAAGAAAAGAAATGTGAAGGTAGAAGCATTTGCATAGTCACTAATGTTAAACCATTAAAAAAAAACATAGTTACTGATGGAAATTAAAAAAATACCCCACTATATTACATTAAAGAAAAAAAAAACCTAGGAGAAAATTGACACATGCACATAAACTTTGCGTGTAATTTCAGATCTCCCTGAAACTGGGGGACAGACTCCAGGTAGGAACTGGAGTCTGTTCTCTAGGTACTGGTAGGCAAGGTGTCCAAGTTACATTGTTAAGCAAGAGACATGTATGATGTGTATGATATTTGACTTTTGGTGCAAAAAAAGGGGGCAATAAATTAACATCTATATTTGCATTTTTTTATACCTGCCTGAGAAAACCCTGGAAGCACAGAAGAAAATAATACAAGAGTTTACTTGGAATGGGGTGAGGAGGAAATGGAATGAATGAAGAGAACTAGACATTTCACTGTATACTTTTCATGCTATTTAATTTAGGAATTATCCTATATAATAAAAGGCTAATATGCAAATTGACCAAACAGCAGAATGATGGCTTGCTCTGACGTGCTCTGACCACCAGGAGGCAGACGCTCAACGCAGGAGCTGCTCCCTGGTGGGCAGTGCTAGAAGTTGGGCTCACGGCTGGTGAGTGCTGGGGGGCGAGAGCCTCTCCCACCTCCACAGAAGCACTAAGGATGTCTGACTGCCGCTTAGGCCTGCTCCCCACCATCAGTTTGACATCCCCTGAGGGCTCCCGGACTGTGAGAGTGTGCAGGCCAGGCTGAGGCCCGCCCCCCCCCCCCCCCCAACCTACCAAATACATGAATTTCATGTACTGGGCCTCTAGTTTAAATATATTACCTATTCAAAGTTATATTAAAATAAAGGCAAAAAAAATGAATGAATTAGACTTATTGTGGTGATCACATCATAAAGCATATAAATGCTGAATCCTTATGTTATATATATGAAAATAATATAATATTGTATGTCAATTATACTTAAAAAAAAACACAAATAAGAGCAATGAATGATCAAGTCCTGCCTTTAAGTAAAAGCCAAATATTTTCCAACAGATGTGTGTCTATGCGTGTGCTGTGCGAGGGGTGAGGGGAAACTACAGGAACCATTGCCTCCTGCACCCCAAACATTCTGGCTTTAAGTCGCACAGTCAAAATGGACCTTGTAAGAGCACTAACTACTCTTATGGGAGATTAAACATGCTCCACAGCATGGTCGGTGGAGCTCATTTAGGAGACCAAAGAACATTAGCTTTTCTTAAATAAGCCATGTGCATGCCTTTCACTCTCACTCCCTAACTCATTCTGACCTGGACTGTTCTTCTTGAGAAGGTGTGGGCAGGCCTCCCCTTCCTCACTAGACTTCCTTTAAGTCCATTTGAGTCTGAATACAAAAAGATCCATAACATTAAAGGGAAAAGAAAGGACCTCCAGTCTTAGGTTTTTCAACTTTACTTTCTTCCAGTTATAGACAACAAAGCACGTACAATTAAACAACTGGATTTCCCACAAGTAATCTGACTCCTCTTTCTTGCTACTCTGAGAAACCAAAAGTATATTAATGAAACTGTAGGAGTCTGCCCTTAGAGAATTGTAGGCCAGAGCTATCCAGTAGAATTACAAAGCAAGCTACCCAAGTAATTAAGATCTTTCTTGTAGTTATAGTTAAACATTTCTTAAAAGAAAATGGCAAATTTAATTTTAGTAAATACTTCATTTACTCCATATGTCCATAATGTTTCATCCCAATATATAATCAATATTAAAATTATTGAGACATTTTACACTTTTTAAACTAGTCTTTGAAATCCAGTGTACATTTTATACTTATAGCCTGTCTCGATTTGGATGCTAAATTTTCATGAGAAATATTTGATCTATATAGAGTCATAAAATTTACATTTGGTTACTCAAGTTAATTCCAAATATTTTCTGTTTTTCAATGACTGAGTCAAGTGTCAGTTTTTAAATTAAAATTAAGTAAAATCAAAATTCCGGTTTTTTGTCACTGTCTTTCAAGAGCTCCATAACCACCCATGGCCAGGGACTCCAGTATTGCACAGACCGATTCTAGACTACGCCTAAACGTGGCATTAACCTGGCTTAACGCTTTAGTTATGAACTACAAGGGCAAACACCGTTCCAGGTGTTCTGAGGCACAGACCGGAAGAACGATGGCGGTCTGAGTCCGGAAGCGTTTTTGATTTGTCCCTTTGATCTTTAAAGAGCCTGTTTCTACTTCAACGTGAGTTTCTTACCAAAGCATGTCTGCCTGTCGGGGCCCAGCACGGTCCCTGGCGCGCACCTGCACTCGGTGTCCAAGCAGCTGCCGTGGCAGTCCTCATCGCAGATGTCGTAAAAATCTACGGGAGGATAAAGATGGCCTTTGTGATGGGCTAGGACCCTCCTGCCGGAGTTCAATCATGGGATACCAGCGTCAGGCCAACGTCCAGAGAACGCTCACTGTTCAGGGAGCACATAAACCCAACGGAAAGACACACCACCCAGGAACATCTTTTGTCGTTTTGATGAGTGTGATTCCCAACTTCAGATCCACAGGCCTTTGGTTGGCAATAGATTCTGAAAATCTAATACCTCACAAACATGAGCTGTGGGTTAAATACACATTATCTCATATCACATAACCCCTGGACACAGACAATAGTGGGGTGAAGGCCTGGGGAGGGGACAGGAGTGAGGAGGAGGAGGGAGTCAATGAGGAGGAAAAAAGGACATTTGTAATATTTTCAATAATAAGGATAAATTAAAAAATAAATAAACATTATCTTCTACTTTTCTATATGCTCTATTTTTTAAATATATGTATCGATAATTGAGGGGACTGAGAAAACAAAAATTTATTTAAAAGTACTACTGACCTAAAGTAGCTCCTTTCCATATAATTTTTAAAAAAAATCAATGGATACTAAGCACAATGCTATCCCATGGATGTCTAATATATATTTTAAAAAGGGATTCTCCATACTCAAAAGTGTTGATTTCTACTTAAATTACCTAATCAACATTTCATTTTCTAAATGAAGATTTCTACTTAGATAACCTAAATCAACATTTCATTTTCTAATGACTTGTTCAAAAGGAGTGAAGACAAAGTAAAGCAGAAATGATCAAAGGCATAGCTCCTTTCCCTTTCTAGTCTCCAGGAACTTTTCAGAAATTTAAGAAGAGAGCTCAGAAATCACAGCCTGGAGGTATATGTGGCCCTGAAGCCGTGTTATTCGGACCCTGAGATGCTTCCCTAAGTGAGTTTCCTCTGGCGCGTTTCTCCTGGATGCCTCGTGGGGAGGACAGAGAGCACAGAGAAGGGACTCACGGCCACAGTAGACATGGAAGCAGACGCTGGGCCTGGGCAGACGATACACGTAGTAGCCTCCGGGGCACGCCTTGACCTCCACCGTGGTGTTCCAGAGGCAGCAGTTCCTGTTGAAGCTGGCACAGGCCTGGCGCTGCACGATGCCGTCACCCTCCAGAGGGTGGCTGCCGTTGAGCCAGACGGGGGCGTGGGTCCCACAGTGGTTTTCGGGTATGCAGAAGGTGGGCATGGCGTCCCCCGCCATGCCGGTGAAGCGGTACCACTCCCCGTCCACGTGGCTGTCACACAGAGGCGGACCCTGAGATTCGTCCAACTGGTGCTCAGTGTTCCTCCAGGGCTCATTCAGACTGATGTAGGCGGAACAGGGATCTAGGGCTGGGGAGGAAAGGGACACCTCAGAGGCACCTCGTGATAGTGCAGATCACAGAGCCAACGACATCCTGGGTCCGCCTCCTTGGTCTTGTATTTTGACTTTCTGGGGTTCAGGAAGAAATCATCTAACGCTCCCAAAAAGTAGCTGTTTAAGATTCCCCAAGTTAACTTGCACATGTTTCACAGATACCTTTCATGGAATTATTTCAAAACTATCTAAGGTTCAGGGTTAGCATCGGGCTAAATTTTTCATCCATTGGTAATCCATTGGTGGAAAGAGAGTTGCTCAGAACCGGAGAGGTTAGAGTTGCGGTCTCATTGAGCTCTGCTCTGGTCAGACCATAGTCTGAGGGCTGTGTGTTCACACCCAGAGGCTGACTTTAGGAGAGTAATGGGCAAACTCAGTATCCAGAGGAAGGTGAGCAGACTTAGAAGGAAGCCTAAGATTATTCACTGGGGAAGAGGCTGAGAACTAGAGTTTGGAGAAAAGAAGACTGAAAAAATGTGCGCATCACTTTTCAAACATCTGGATGGGGCTTGTGGAAGAGGAATTAGGTATTCTGTTACAAAAACAAGAACAAATGGTTATGGGGAAGCACATTTCGTCCAGTTACTCAGCAATGGATGAGTCTTTGGAAAATTTTTAAAAATTTTGGATGGTCATTTGTAGGCAAGGTTATAGGTGGAATTTTGCACTAGGGAGAAGCTCGATTTGATAACGAATGTGTAAAACTCATTCCACTGAAAAGGAAAAGGCCTCTGGCACATGTCAGCTGCTTTGATATATACAGATTATATTGACAAGTAGTTCCCTAAGATAGTTTCAGAGTGAATATATTCCATCAGCTTATTGAAAACATTATAAACTTTATGTATTCACAATTAGCCGTGGCATCACTGTGGATAATAGAGTTTTCAAGCATGCATTTTTTAGCCCATGGACAAATATCCCATCAAAAACATTTTAATGACCAAAGACATAAATATCCCCAATATTCTCACTGCTTCTCTCAATTTCAGAGAAACATTGAATGAATGGAGGCAAATTGTCTGTGTGAACCTATAAAACCCAGGCGTCCCAGAAAGGAGACCAGCCGTAGAGAACTGTCCTTTCCAATGCATGTCAGCTGGGAGTTCACATGACGGCTGATACATTTTTGTGGGCAGGAATTTCAGCTTTAGCAAACAATGCACAATAATTAAATGTAAATGGACCAGGATCATAAAATCTAAGTTGTCTAGAAAATATTTTGGATTTTCCCAGGCTACATTTCAAACTCAAGCTTCCTCTCTACACTTCACCCGTAGAGAGAGGAGTGTGTGACTGAGTGTTAATGCCCATCGAGCATGTGACAGCTTGGGACAGGAAGTAAGACGGTACTGCACTTTCTGGAAGTAACACATTTGCAGAGTTGCACATGGCAGGGCAACCGCCTCCTTTACATGGTCCCCAGCGGTACCCCAAGGGTGCCCTAGCTTATCGTTTGCTGTCCCTTCAGGGCAAGAAGTGTCCTCAGACAGACTCTCTCCCCTCTCAAAAAGGAAAAATTCCTTCCTCTGCTCTCCCCGCTGCGGGTTTTCAGGGAAATTTCACAGGTGATCATAAATTCATAAAAATATTTGGTTCATTTCCTTGGCTCTCATTTTATAAGACATGGTTAGGTACTCAACTTGTAATGGCTTTTACAGAAATTCCTAAACTATCCTCAGTAACTATTTCAGGAATTATAGTTTTTCCTTAAACTCAACTGTCATTTATTGTGCTGTTTGTTAAAAATTCTCTTTCTCTCCTGTTGTAGGGGAGATATGGCACAAACAGGAAATTTTTTCCTACTGTGTCCTTTAAAATAAATAGATGATGTATTTTAAAAAGTTACCCACCCAGTGTTTCTCACGTTAAATATGCACATCCACCTTTTCATCTCCAACCCCTTTTAAGGCGGTACTTCAATCCCTTAATCATCCGTTAATTCCCATTCTCAGGCTCTCATCGGGGAGCACAGAGCTTAATATAAGCTTATGGCACCCTAATTTGTGGACACATACATTCCTCAAACTGAAGCGTGTCAGAAAGGACAGCCCTGTGGTTTCCTTTCAAATGTCGAGCCAGGAGCACCCTCCTCCCGCCCTCTCACCTGCCAGCCACCCTGCAGCCCACCCCTCGGGGGTCCCCACTCTGGGGACCAGGGAACACTGTGCACCCTCAGGGTCGGCATAGCGCTGAGAGATAATGTCAGCACCCGCCCTTGGTTCCAAGGTTTGCAGAGCCAGAGGCTCCAACCCTCAGTCCTCCTCCTCACCCCACGCCGCCCCTCCCATCAGCTCAGTGCTGGAGCCCCCTCTCCTCCCTGCCTTCTCCTCACTCCCTGCCTTCCTCCCCACCTCCTCTCCTTTTCCTCCCCACTCCTTTCCTCCCACTTCCCCTCTCCAACCCGGACAAGCATTCCCCCCGCACTACCCTTTCCCTCCTTACCCAGTTCTCCCGTGAGCATCAAGTCAAAGGTCCTGTGTGTGTGTGTGTGTGTGTGTGTAGTAGAAGGTGTGTGATTGGGAGGTGCAGGAGTGAGTGTGTGTGTGTGTGTATGTGTGTGTGTGTGTATGTGTGTGTGTGTGTATGTGTGTGTGTGTGTGTGTGTGTGTAGTAGAAGGTGTGTGATTGGGAGGTGCAGGAGTGTGTGTGTGTGTATGTGTGTATGTGTGTGTGTGTATGTGTGTGTGTGTGTGTGTGTGTGTGTGTAGTAGAAGTCTGGGGAGGGAGAAGGTGTGTGATTGGGAGGTGCAGGAGTGTGTGTGTATGTGTGTGTGTGTGTGTGTGTGTGTAGTAGAAGGTGTATGATTGGGAGGTGCAGGAGTGTGTGTGTGTATGTGTGTATGTGTGTGTGTGTATGTGTGTGTGTGTGTGTGTGTGTGTGTGTGTAGTAGAAGTCTGGGGAGGGAGAAGGTGTGTGATTGGGAGGTGCAGGAGTGTGTGTGTATGTGTGTGTGTGTGTGTGTGTGTGTAGTAGAAGGTGTGTGATTGGGAGGTGCAGGAGTGAGTGTGTGTGTGTGTATGTGTGTATGTGTGTGTATGTATGTGTGTGTGTGTGTGTGTAGTAGAAGGTGTGTGATTGGGAAGTGCAGGAGTGTGTGTGTGTGTGTGTGTGTGTGTGTGTGTGTATGTATGTGTGTATGTGTGTGTGTGTGTGTGTGTGTGTGTAGTAGAAGTCTGGGGAGGGAGAAGGTGTGTGATTGGGAGGTGCAGGAGGCACTGAGGAGAGTGAGAAGGGAAAGAGAACGGGAAGGGGAGTGTGGGTTGAGGGGAGGATGACTTTTGCTTACGGGGCTCTGGGTGTTCTGGCAGCAGATGCTGGGTGGTTAAGCTGAGCTCAGCCCCTCTTTAAAACAGCTTCAGACCCAGAGAATGATGAGAAGGTGGCACAAAGTGGCCCCCCACCCCCACCTGGTTTCCCTGTTAGGATACCTCATACATGGTACCTTTGCCACAGTTAATGAACCAATGTTGCTACATTATTATTAACTCAAGTCCATAGTTTTTTAGATTTTCTTCAGTTTTGCCTTTGTCTTTCTCTGTTCCAGGATTTCATCCAGGCACCACATTACATTTACTTTTCATGTCCTTGGGGTCTCAAGCCTGTTTTCTCTTTTTGTTTTTTGAAATTTGAATATGGACTAGATATTAGATGGTATTGAATTATGGTTTTGGTGGGTTTTTTTCAAGGCCATTTTTAATGTGTATCCTTAAAGGTGCTAGAGCAAGGCCTGAGTTCGTCAGGGTCAACAAACTACTGAGCTCCTCAAAAGGACTCTTCTCTCCATCTCAACCTGCTCTCACACTCTCTTAGAGAGCTTCAATTCTATTGGAGAAAGGAGAGAGGCATTTGCTAGTAAGTGGAATTGTTTTGCCTTGTTGGTCAGTTTGTGCCAAGCCTGAGGAGAGACAGTTTACAGTTCACTCAGTCTGTGAAAAGAGTCCTATTTTCAGATGTCAAGACTATGGAGCTTGATTTACTGGATCTATATCTTTCATGGGGCTAAAGCTTTCAGTCAGTCTCTGGAAACCATTAAAGAAAAAAAAAATCCATCCTTAACTCTAAAAATCATTGTTTTACTCTTGAAGGTGTAGCTATAAAAGTGCCTTGCATATAAAAGGTTAGAATTCCTTTTACACACACTCCAAGCAATATTTAGCCGCTTAAAAGCTGCTGGATATGGCCGATCCATGGAAATTTCGGCTGCCCAGGCAAGAGAATAAATGGAACATAAAACAGAAATTCTATGAAAATACATGTTCATAGGTTTTCAATAGCTAGACCCAGCATTGAAGACACTGGATTCTAGCTCTTAGTAATCTGTATGTAACAGCAATTTCCTGCAACAAAAAGCTCAGCGTGCCAAGTACTTGATACCAGACTCACCCATTGGTGACGCAGGTGTAATGGTGACGAAGAGGCAGGTGAGAAGCAGGAACGGAGGCATCCTTCTGGATCAGCCACCAGACACCAACTGGCAAACCCTCTTAATTCCCGTTTTCCTCTGTCCCCTTCTTAAAAAAAAAAAAAAAAAAAAAAAAAGCCTCGTGAAGAAAGACTTTTCAGTGCTGGTTGGGGCTTATCAGAGGAAAAGGGTGAGTGGGATAAGGTGTCCACTGCTCTGGCCTTGACCCCAGAGAGAAGCACTGCTTTACACTGTCAACAGGGTTATTTTACTGACATTTGTCTTTAGGGAAAAAAATACTCACAACCCCTCATCCTCCTATTGTTTTCGCTCAAGAATTCCCTGCAATGCGGCCTTCGGTATCTTATCCAGACGGGAATTCTAAATGAGGGCCATCCCCTCGCCTCAGAATCTCATTTCATGACGCTGCAGCACACCACTGCGCACTAAGTGAGAACGGGAATAGGCGAGGTTGTTGGAATGGTCATTAAGAAAGGAGTTTATAAGCGCACACAGAGAAGTGGTAAGAACAGGTGTGGAATGGGGATGATATTCTCTTAAAGCAAGCTCCCAAGGCTTTTATCATGGTCTTTGGTCCCAAAACTTCCTAAAGAGCCCTGGATGGTGTGGCTCAGTTGGTTGGGCATTGTGCATAGAAAGGTTGCCAGTTTGATTCCCAGTCAGGGCACATGCCTGGGTTGCTGGCTCAATGCCCAGTGGGGAAAAAGGGGGAGACAGGAGGCAGTCAATAGATATTTCTCTCTCCCTCTTCCTTCTTCTCTCTCTAAAAATCAATAAAACTATATTTTAAAACTTCATGAAGAAAAGGTTTAATTTGTGCTTCTATCCATTCAGGCAACAATAAATACCTTATGTTTTCCTAGTGCCTTTCTTCCCCAAATTTAAAATAGCCCAGTATTTTTTATTTTACTAATTTCCTGCTAACACAGGGGCAGGGAATTCGAATCTAAAACTACTCATTACTAACAACACTGGAAAGTACTAAGTGACCACGTTTACTAGAACTTCGCTTTCAGACAGAAGAAAGAAGATGAAAGGACCTGTATATTAACATGCCCCACGCATGACCTTGTCATTACAGATTTGACCTTGTCATTACAGACTTGAAGGTTGCCAGTTCCCTGACACTCTGCAGTGTGGATATCTGAACATTGGCACACACTGTTACTGAAGGCAATTTTTAGGGCCAGGGAAAAGGTTTTTGTTATTTGGTGTTTAAATACTATATTAAAGCAGGATCTGAGGAAAACCAAAATGTTCCTCTTCTGATTGTACCTTGACCAGATGCTTTGGGCTTCTATTATCCCTATACTTCTTCTCACCCATTTCTTTTCCTAATAACCACATTCCCAGTGACTGGGGAAGGAATATTATCACCTTTAGGAGGTGGTCCTTAAACTTGTCTTTACAATATCTTCTTCATTTTTACTGCGCTGAGTGGCATTCAGATTACTGAGGCCCCTTTCCGCGTTTCAGTCCAATGAAACATCAATGCTCATGGTCAGATGCTGGTCGCGGGTTTTAGACCCTGAAGGTAAAAGTGGTTCCTGCAAGCACAGAGTTTGCAGTCCAGCAGGGGGTCTCCATGGATCTAAGGCTGTCGTTGGAGGTTTATCACTAATGCTAGCAGAACACGGGCAATTTGGCCATGAGCTTAGGTTGCAATGTGATGTCAGTGATGCATGGCTTTGGGCTGAGGACTGTCTCCTTGCGGGGAAGTGCTGTTAAGTGTCAGTGCTCCTGACAGAAAAACAACCCCCGCAGTTTCCTGTCCCCGTAAGCCATCCATCCCGTGCCTCATGTGGCTGTGGAGGAACAGAGGCGTCTGCGTGAGATAACCCCGGTCTGCTGCCCGGATGGACGGCTGGAGTCAAGGACTCTCACCAGATAGCTGTTGGTTCTGTCAACAAGCATTCCCAGGGAGGCAAGATGTCCCTCCCCCCACTTATTCCTATTGTTTCTCCTTTGCAGTTGAAATACCCTTTCATTTTGACTTTTTATGATGAAAAATTTCAAATATATAGAAAAGTAAACAAGAATGAACACCCCGCTGCAATTACTAACACTGCCATTCCTATTTCATGCATACCAGCATGCATTTCTTTCCCCTTGACATAATTGTAATGTCTCTAGTACAGCTTCAAAACACTAGTAATCATCCCTTAATATCTAATACCCAACCCCTATTTAAAATTTCCCAAGTGTTTCAAAAATTTCTTGGAATTGCTGGTTTGAGTCAGTCAGGATTCAAACAAGAGCCATGCTCGTGTCCATAAGTTTTTCCATCTATAATGGTTCCCCCCACCACACCCCCATTGCTGCAGAAACCCCGTCATTTGCCTTATAGAACGACTCACAGTCTAGATTGGGCCCACTACTTCTTGGGATGTCTTTTAGCCTCCCTTATCTTTTTCATATTTTTCTAAAGTCTGGGCTATTATAAATTAAAAACAAAAATACGCTGGTGATACTGAAGGCATTAAAAGCACAGGGGGAGTGCTAGAAATAGATCAGGTAGGAGGTGGGGAAAGCAATCTGCTATTCAGGATAGAGCTGAGCTAGAATAACAGTTTGAGAGCCACCAGCATAGAAGAGGAACAGACATTGGGGAAGCGGAGGGGATGAGATCATCCATGGAAAATGGGGTCCAAGGTGGAACCTTAGACAAGCCCAACATCAGAGATGTGGGCAGAGACTGAGAGGTAGAGATTTACAGAAGGAAACCCAAGAGCACAGTCACAGGAGTTTTGAGGAGGAGGGATTGCTCAGTGGATGACTCTTATAAAACCTGAAATGAAACGAAACTTTATAGTGAGCCATTTATATTCAGTAGGATACAATAAGATTAACCTATACATTTATCCTAACGATATAACAACATTTTGGAGACAAAACGTTTGGACATGTGGGAGAGCAACGAATTAAAGATTGTTAGCTATGATAAAAATGAATGACAGCCCTCAACAGTTTTGGTGAAACTGAGTTCCAAAATCTAAGACGTTCCTCTTCTATGTGAAATCTTTCCAGATACGTTGTAAAAACCGGACCCATTTGCATTTGCTCTTGTAATCAGCTACCCTGGCAAGGAAGATGCAACAGCACATGAGGCATTAGCCATACTCACCACACTGACCAGCCCTTCAGGCACTCGGTTGTGTTTGATGCAGGATTGAATGGTGGTTCTGACATAGCTGCTCTCTCTGCCTCAGTTTCCTTCTTTAAAGCAATGGTTTGATTAAATCAGTGGCTGGCATCAGAATCACCAGGAGGGCCCGTTACCGCTGGTCCCCCTCCTCGTTTGAAATTCCATAGAGATCAGAGGACTTGCCTTTCTAACAAGGAATGCCAGGCTGCTGCTGCAGGGATCATGCTCGGAGAATCCTTTTCCTTTTCCAGCTCCAAAAGTCCATGATCTCTTAGCAGAACAGCATTCCCCACACTGGATTTAACACTCTCCACTATCTCCACTGAAAACACACGAAAGCCTGACAGAATGTCATGGGAAATGCAGACATTATTTGTTGAATGCAAGCAAGAGCTTCACATTTTCTATCTTTCATCGTCTCACACTTTATAAACGTCCTGGGATGCCCGTGTTAGTGAGGTGGCTGTAAGCTGCCAGGAGGCAGGCCTATGGATCGCTAAGGAGGTTCTTTGATATCTCACGCCACACTAAATGCAGTCAGACATTTACCACATGCTTTTCCCCCCTTTAACTTTAATGGGAGTGACAGTGGTTAGTAACATTATACACATTCCAGTGTACAATTCTATAACACAAATCTGTACATGGCATTGTGTGCGTACCACCCAGAGCCTGGTCTCCTTTAGTCACCATACAGCTGACCCTCGTCATCCTTCTCCCACCCCCACTTTCCCTCTGGAAACGACCACACTGTTGAATCTATGAGCTTGTTTGGTTTACTCATTTGTTGCTTTCTTTTAGGTCCCACATGAGTGAAATCATAGCTTCTTGTCCTTTTCCACATGACTTATTTCACTTAGCATTATACTCTCAAGATCCATCCATTGAAATGGCAATATTTCATCATCTTTTTATGGCTTAGTTTTTTACTATATATATGTACCACATCTTCTTTATCCAATCATCTGTCAAAGGACGTTTAGTTCTTTCCATGTCTTGGCTATTGTGAATAATACTGCAGTGAACACTGGGGTACAGATATCAAATAAGTGTTTTCAATATTGGGAGTAGATACCCAGGAGAGGGATTGCTGGGTCACATGGTGGCTCTAGTCTTTATTTTTTAAAGAACCTCCCTACTGTTTCCCATAGAGGCTGTACAAATTTACACTCTCACCAGCAGTGTACGAAGGCTCCTTTTTCTTCACATCCTCTCCAACACTTGTTTGTTGATTTATTGATAGCCATTCTAACAGGTGTGAAATGATATCTCACTGTGGTTTTAATTTTCTCTGATTAGTGACATTGAGTATCTTTCCATACGTCTATTGGCCCTCTATATATCATCTTTAGAGAAGTGTCTATTCAGGTCCTTTGACAAATTTTAATTTGATTTGTTTTTTGTTGAGTTGTATGAGTTACTTATATATTTTAGATATTAGCTCATAATTAGAAGTATCATTTGTAAATGTCTTCTTCCTTTTGATTGGTTGTCTTTTTGTTTGTTGATAGTTTCTCTGCAGTGTAGAAGCTTTTTAGTTTTATGTAGTTCCATTCATTTAAGTTTTGCTTTTATTTCCCTTGCTTTTGGAGTCAAGTTCACAAAAATCCCTCTGAGACCAAAGTCCATAAATTTAGTGCCTATGTTTTCTTCTACGTATTTTATTGTTTTAGGTCTTATATTCAAGTCCTTAATCCATTTTGAGTTAACTTTTGTGCGTGGTGTCAGATAGCAATCTAGTTGCATTCTTTTGTATGTGGCTTTCCAATTTTTCCAACACCATTTATTGAAAAGGCTTTCCTATTCCTTTGTATGTCTTGGCTCCTTGGTTAAAAAAAAAAAAGTAGCCTATATATGTGTGAGTTTATTTATGGACTTTTAATTATATTCTACTAGAGGCCCGGTGCAAGAATTTGTGCACCAGTGAGGTCCCTTGGCCTGGCTGGTGATCGAGGCTGATGGGGGCTGACCGGCCAGGGAGGGCTCCAGGGCATGTCTGGACTGTCTTGCTCAGTCCCAATCACCAGACTCCAGCAGCAAGCTAACCTACTGGCTGGAGCATCTGCCTCCTTGTGATCAGTGTGCATCACAGGCAACTGGTGGAACAGTCGAATGAATAGTCAGACACTTAACATATTATACTTTTATTATATAAAATGGTCTGCGTCTGTTTTCCTTCCAATATCATACTGTTTTGATTATTATGGCTTTGTGGCATAATTTGAAGCCAGAGAGTGTGATGTCTATGCTTTGTTCTCTGTTCTCAGGGTTGCTTTGACTCTTTAGTGGTTCAACACAAATTTGAGGGTTTTTTGTTCTATTTCTTTGAAAAAAATGCCATTGGAATTTTGATGGAGACTTCACTAGATCAGTTTATTGCTTTTGGTAATATAGTATTTTTAACTGTTAATTCTTCCAATCCATGAAGATAGAGTATCTTTCCATTTCTTTGTATCTTCTTCAATTTCTTCCAACAATGTCATATAGTTTTCAGTGTATAGGTTATTTGCTTCCTTGAAGTTTATTCCTAGGTATTTAATTGTTTCAATTGAAAACAATTGTTTTCATTTTTCCCCCTGATATTTCATTTTAGTATATAGGAACACAACTTATTTTTGCATGTTGATTTTATATCCCACAATTTATTGTTTTTAATAGTCTTTTGGTGGAGCCCTGTAGAATCATGTCATCTGCAAACAGAGTTTTACTTTTTTATTCCAAATTTGGATGCCTTTTATTTTTTGTTGTTGCCTGACTGCTCTGGCTAGGACTTTCAGGACTATACTGAATAAGAATGGTCAGAGTGGCCATCTGTCTTCTTCCTGATCTTAGAGAAAAGCTTGAGCTGGGCGTTTGTCATATATGGCCTTTATTATCTTGAGATACTTTCCTTCTATACTCACTGTGTTTTAATCATAAATTAGTATTGTATCTTGCCAAATGCTTTTTTCTGAATCCACTGATAAGATCACATAATTTAATTTTTTATTTAATATGTGCTTTTTGATATGCCTTTGATGGAATAGGCAGCAAGTGGCACTTTCTTGTTTGGTGATCACTATAAATTTGATACAAACTCTTAAAATAATGAATATTTAATCCTGATCCATCTTGAACAACTTCCTGGAGTCTAAGAGACAACCTGGGCAATCTAGTGGCCTGATATGATTTTCCTGCTAATCAGGAGATAGTGATGGTAGGTAGTCTCTTCTGCCACTGGCTTTACTGTGGCCGGTCAGGTCACTTAACCTTGGGTGGCACTGGGAAATGAGGAAGCGACTGACCACCTTAGTTCAGGAAGAATTAATGAAATGTCTAGTTCTAAGAATATAGGTTCTAGGAACAAATCTTGATTTCAATATGATATTTTTATAAAAAATTATTTTAGAAGTAAAAATCTTCCCATCTAGAATCACAGGAAAATACGTTTTTTTTTTTTTTTTCTATTTTTTTGGTTTTGCTTTAAAGAATGAGATGCTACAGTTCAAAAATTGAATAAGTATTTATTGTTCCAGAAGTTACATTGCTTTTTATACATATTTCATAAATGATACAGGATTTTACACGTTCGCTATTTTACTATGTTTAAAGGACTTTTCTCCCCATCCATCCTCCCTCCCTTGCCTCCCACACATCCTGAAAGGATCTGCTCATTGCACTGTGCTGTGTCTTCTTAAAAACCCTGTGCACAAACAGGATAAATGGTTTAAAAATAATTCACACAACTTAAAAATAAATGAAGGAAGAGGTTTTGACGGGGGGGGGGGGGGCGGCGGGGAAGGAAGTGGGGGCCTGGGAAGTGGAGACATGCATCCTTTCATCCCATCATGCCGGTGGAAGGGGTGGTGGCAGGAGCAGCAGCAGCAATCCTGGCTGGCCTTCAACCTCTGCAAGGCACCTGGAGTCTGGGTTTGTCATTTAAAATTTTTCTTTTCATACACAATGATCCCAAAGGAGAACGAAAAAGAGAAAGGAATCCCTTGCCACAATGAGGAGCGATGAATCATGTGAAAGAAAAAAGCCAATCAGCTGCGTGGCAAGCCCGCCTTCCTCTCCCTCCTGCCCCCACAGTAATTAAAAACAGAATATTGGACAGATGCCGCTGACTTCCAAGTGCACATGTCAGCTGGAAATGTGGTAGAAAATATTTGACAGAGTATTAATGCTTCTTTCTCTCAATTTAAGAAAAAACTGGGTGAAGAAGGTAGGCCGAAAGGAGCCATAGAAATGTATGCCTGTAGAAAGAGAAATCGCACCCTTTGTGGTCCACACACTTGATTTACAACTCCTGAAGTGGTGGAGGCGGGAGGGCGGCATCTGGTGGCCTTGGATGCTGTCACACAGCAGATTAACAGCAATGAAATCATTCCGGTTCTGAAATGGCTACACAGACATGATTTTTAGCCACTCTGTAAACCTTTCGTCTTTCCGATTTGGTAATACAGCTGAACACCCTCCTCCAATTTGAGTTATGGACGGAGCGTGGAGGGTAGTTAAAGGAGGGAAATTCTGCCTCCTCTCAAAGATTAATTAGTAAAAAAACAAAACAAAATAAAACAAAAACATGCAGTGTTGCCAATGATTCCTAGGTACTGATCCAGAGCACTGGAATATACAGACATTTAAGAAGGTATAATCCAAAGTGTCGATCATCAAACAGTCATACATTGGTTCCAAGGGTCATATGGATAAAATTAATGAAACCAATAGGGTGGGTGGTCTGAAAAGGGGTACAAGCGGGCAGATTCCTGGTTTACTTGAAGAGGCTGGGTCCAATTTAAAATAAATGCTAATGACGGGGCTCATGCTGTTTGCCACCCACATATCTTGAGGATATGCTTTTCTGATATATTTATTGACTCCTGTGTCAAAAGTAAGAAAAGTTAAATTAAAAAAAGAAAATAGAGCTGAGTGGGGTGCTGGTGTGTTACTGTTTTGCTGACCTGCAAAGAAGATGCAAGAAACTAACACCCCAGCATCGTTTTCTCCTTCTGAGTCTCTCAAATATATAACTTATCATTTCACCCAGGAACTGAGATGCTTGATTAAGACAATATTAACTAAGCCCTTTGAGCTTATATTTCACAAAGCTTGATCTTCAGATTTTAACATTCCTTTCTTCCCTAACATCCTTGTTGTTTTTAATTAAAGGTAAAAACCCTCCACCCCAACATGGCTCCCAGCTTCCACCTGTAATGTTTTAATTAAAAAGGCAATAGTTATAAACAAGTGTTCTTTCTGCTGGGACTCAGCGGCTCTTTGCAGGTCAGTTTTTTTCACCGATTTGTCGGAGGGGCAGGTGAACTTGTAATGGGTCTCTCAGCCTCTTCAGGTCCATTTCTGCCTAAAATAGAAACAGAAGGTGAGAAAGACTTGCTAAAGAAGCTTTCAATATCAGTGTCTCCTAAGAAAAGGAAACTATCTTTCCTCCATCACCATGTGTCAAAGAAATCATCTCAGTTACTCTCAAAATAGGAGTGCCTCAGAGACAGAGGACACAGAGGGGGACCAACACCAAAGGCTGGCCGATGCAGCCGTCACAGCCTCCAGAGGGACCTGCTATCAATAGGGCAGGACTCAGGCTCCAGACACCGGGAGCACCTGATGCACCTGGGTGTTTTGCCAGAGAGAAGCCCTTTCACCAACCTTTGCCTGGAGCCAGAAGTTTAATTTATGCTCCTCAAAGACTTTTGTTATATATCCAACAGTTGTTTAAATTTTTCAATAGCTACGGACTTTTAAAACAAGGATTTGTAGTCAATGCTGCACTTTTAAAACTCACACATGCTGGACCCTCCCTCCTGAGGAGCTGCAGCATCTGCATGTTTAAAAGCTCCAGCGAGGATTCTGGTGCAGTGCCTCCAGCTGAGACCTACCACCCAGAGCAACAGAAGACCTGAGCTCACTTAGGCCAACGCAGGAAGATGGGTTAAGCTTATTCAAAGCACAACTCCATCACCAATAAGGGACAGAGAAGGCAGAGAAGGTCCAGAGAAGAGGATGGAAGAGCTTCGGGAGATAAAACAACAACAAACAACAAAAAACCCTCTAAAGTCATTAAGGACTATGGAGGATTTATTCACCAAAATCTAATATCTCAGAGTGAGAAAGGCACACTCAGAAATCTGAAGTGGTAATGATTATGAAAAATAAAATACATTAATCTTTTTAAAAATATATTTTTATTAATTTTAGAGAGGAAAAGGGAGGGACGGAGTGAGGGGGGAGGGAGGGAGAAAGAGAGAGAGAGAGAGAGAGAGAGAGAGAGAGAGAGAGAGAGAGAGAGAGAGAGAGAGAGAGAGAGAAAGAAACAGAAATGATGAAAAGAATCATTGATCAGCTGCCTCCTGCACACCACCCTCTTGGAGATCAAGCCCACAACCCAGGTATGTGCCTTTGACCAAAATCGAACATGGGGCCGTTTAGTCTATAGGCTGACACTCTATCCATTGAGCCAAACCAGCTAGGGCTATATTAATCTTTTTAAAACGCATCTTCTAAAACTCCAGGGAAGGAGGGTATGTATGGGAGGGAGGGGGCAATGTTAAAATATGTACAGATAATAATTTTTAAAAAATAAAATAAATAAAAAGCATCTTCTAGCCCTAACCACTTTGGCTCAGTGGATAGAGCATCAGTCTGCAGACTAAGGGGTCCCAGGATTCCGGTCAGTCTGTACCTTGGTTGTGGGCACATCCCCAGTAGGAGGTGTGCAGGAGGCAGCTAATCGATGTTTCTAACTCTCTATCCCTCTCCCTTCTTCTTTGTAAAAAAATCAATAATATATATATATATATATATATATATATATATATATATTTTTTTTTTTTTTTAAAGCATCTTCTAGTTCAATAATTTCTCAACCGCTTGGCAAAGATTCCTAGTAATCTCTCTCTTTTGCGTGGATTTTATTTTTGCCCCATTGCTACCACAGTCTTTAGGTGAGAAACTTCCGTGTCAATTATTGAAGAAAAATTTAAAAAGAGAGAAAAGTAAAAAACAAAAAAAACAAAAAACCTCTAAAGAAACAAAATGAAAACATAAAAATAGGTCTAAAAAATTCAATATACTAGTGTTAACAAGATAGCTAGGATTCACCATATTTTACTTGCTTGTATTATAAAACTTCCTAGAGGTATCCATGCTAAAATAGTCATTTATATCAAACTAGAGGCCTGATGCACGAAATTCATGTAAGAGTAGGCTTTCCTTCCCTTAGCTGCTGGCACAGGCTTCCCTCTGGAACCCCGGACCCAGGCTTCCCTCCCAGCCCCGGTCTTGTCTGAAAGGTTGTCTGGAAGGACGTCTGTCTAATTAGCACATTATCCTTTTATTATTATAGATGAGGAACAATTTATATAGGAAGAAGGGGTTGGGTCATTCTTTCAGTTCACCCATTGAAGTACTATGATTATAGATAACTATTATAACAATAATGCCAGCCCTGGCCCATTACTCAGTGGTTAGTGTCATCCTGCGGACTGATGGGTCACGAGTTTGATTCTTGGTCAAGGGTATGTACCTCGGTTGCATTCCCCAGCCCTGGGGTAGGGGCAGGTGCGGGAGACAACCAATCGATGGGTCTCTCTCACATTAATGTGTCTCTCTCTCTTTCTCTTCCAGCCCCTTTTGCCTCCCTTCTACTCTCTCTAGAAATCAAGGGAGAAAATATCTTCAGATGAGGATTAATAATAACAATGATGCCATATAAGATGGGGCTGAAATTCATTAAATTTTATTTTTGAAAACTTACCTGAATTATATCTAGAAAATTTGTACTTTAGAAAATTAACTTTCATTTGATATGCTAACAACAAGATACCCATGAAAAACATCCATGGTGTCAAAACAAGCCAGAGGAAAATCATTTGGGGGAAAAAAAAAAAAAGAAAAAAAAGAAAAGAAAAGGGATCCCAGGTCAAATTCATAGAAAATATCCCTTTATTAACTTTTGGTCGAGAATATGTTTGTATATTTTCAGAAAACAACTCGGAGATCATGTGGATTCCTGCAACGGAGAGGAATTGACAGGAGTGCCCCAGCGATGAAGACAGAAGAGAAGCAGTCCAGAGATGGAAGACGCTGACAACGCCTCGCCATACTCGCAGCCAGGAGCTGTGTGTCGCTGCAGGATGCCCAGGACCAAACCAGAGATGGTCGGAATTGCATCAACATCATTTGTCAACCAACCAGATCTGAAATACCCTGGCTGACATGTACACATAAGGAACTGTTTAACATTGAAACTGGGACTCAAAAGAACTGCTGACCCAGAAAGGAACTCACTATAGACTGATTCATTTGCCTCCCAGCATAACCATTATAGCTTGTCTCAGTTTCGGTCCTTATAAGGGAATTCCCTGCATCACATGATCTAATGCATCTAGGGGAAATAATGAACAACATAAATTGATGAACAGAAACAGACTTGGAGACAGAGAAGCAGCGATCATTCTGTCGGGCCTCAGAGGGGAAGTAGGGGCAAAGGAGAGATATCAACCAAAGGACTTGTGTGCATGCATGTATATAAGCCTAACCAGAGGTCATAGACAACAGGAGGTGGGCATACATGGGGAGGGGTTTGGGATGGGAATGAGGGGATGAGGACAATTATGTGACACCATAATCAATAAAGAAATAAAAAAAAATAATAATTTAAAAAATAGAAAACTTACCTGAGCAATTGCATCCTTGAGTTTATTATATTTCTCTAGGTCAAAACGTGACTTTTTGGCTCCTTTATGGAAAAATAATAAGTATTGTCTGTCTCTGGCTTCTGGATAAACATATTCCTACAAAATAAAGGAGAAATTAAATTATTAGTCGCTAGTATACCATCTTCACAAAGTAATCGTTTATACACTGTTGATAAAATTTAACACACATACCTACATATAAAGCAGGGGCGGGGGGAATGTCTGGCCAAGGCATTAGGGGTGAGTTAATTAAATATCCAGCCCTTGGCAGAAAAAAGTATATGCTGTCATGTGTTGTATTCAATATTTAATTATTTCGTAAACATTTTTATTGGGAAACACACATGGAAGAGCATACAAACTAAAAATGTGCATCACAATGAATCATCACACACTGAGCATGCTAATCATTACCAGCTTAGAAAAAATAGTACACTGCCCACAACCCAGAATCTCCTTCCTGCCCCTCCCCAATTACTAACCCTCCTTCCTCCCAAAGTAATAAATATCTTTACTTTTACGATAATTATTTCCTGGTTTTCTTTATAGCTGCTCAATTTAAGCATTATCCCCTCCCCCACCCCCTGAACTCTTCAGCTTAGTTTTACCTGTTCTTTGAATTTTATAAAAATGAAGCCAGATAGTGTGTACATGACTACTTTCACTCAATGTTATGTTTATGAGATTCATTTTTTTGTATGTAGTCCATTCATTTCCTTTGCTATGTTATATTCTATTGTATGACTACATCACAGTTTAGTTATCCATTGGACTACTTATGGATTTTTGAGTTATTTCTAGGTTTATGCTATTATGAATAATTCTGCCAAGAACATTTCTTGACTTGTATCTTCTGTTGGGGATATATTTATGAGCAAAAATCCCAGATCATTGTTTATGCATATGTTCAAGTTTAAGAAGTGATATCAAATAGATTTCTAAAATCGTTGTATTAATTATACTCCCATCAGCAGAGTATGAGAGTTTCCTTCACTCTACATCCTTGACAATACTGCATCACCAGTTTTTAAAATAGGAATTCTAGTGTGTGAGTGCTGAAGCACTACCTCATTTTTAAAAAACAGCTTTACTAAGATATAATTCACATACCATACAATTCACTCATTTAAAGTATAATATTCAATGGTTTTTAGTATATTCACAAAGTTACTCCACCATCACTATGATCAGTTTAGAACATTTTCATCGTCCCCTGAAGAGGCCCCGGGCTCCAATAGTCACTTCCTATCTTCCCAACACCTGCAGGCCGAGGCAACTACTGATCTACTTTCTAACTCTATAGATTTGCATATTCTGGACATTTCATATAAATGGAATTACTCAGTGTTTAGCCTTTTGTGTCTGGCTTTTTTCAAGGTTCATCTATTTGTCTAATGTATCAGTACTACTTCTTTTTATTGCCAAATAATATTCCATTGACTGGATATACCACAATTCATCTATTCGTCAATTAATAGACTACTTTTTGACTACTATGAATAAGGCTGCTATGAACATTCATATACAAGTTTTTCGTGCACATTGTGTTTCCTTTCTCTTAGAGACATTCTAGAGGCCTGATGCATGAGATTCGTGCAAGGGACTTGGCCCTCGAGCCCGGCTTTATCTGGAAGGGTGCCTGGAAGGATGTCCAGTCTTATTAGAATATTATGCTCTTATTATTATAGATATGGATCCTTTGTTCAGTATATGTAAAGCAAATATCACCTCCCAGTCTTTCACCCTCTTTATGGTGTGTTTTAATAACAGATGTTTTTAATTTTAACAGTCTAATTTATCATTCTTACCTTTATGGTTAGCATTTTTCATTCTACTTAAGAAATAATTTCCTTTTCCACAGTAATTGAGATATTCTTCTATATTATATTCCAGGATCTTTATTTATTGGCTAATTTTCACATTTAGATCTACAATCCATCTGGAATTAATTTCTTTTATAGTGTAAGGAAGGGGTCGGATCATTTTTAATATGGATATTCAATTATCCTTTCACCATTTATCAAAAACGACTTTCCTTTCTTTGCAGTGCCATCTTTTTAAAGTCAAAAGTTCATTTATGCTGGTTTCTACATCCTCTCTTCTATTACTTTGTACGATTTATCTATCATTGTGCCACTATCTTAATTACTGTAGTGTTATAAATAAAGCTATTTAGTCTTCCATATCTGATAGAACAAATCAGTTTACTTAGTTTTGCTTCAAGAGTTTCCTGGCTTTTCTTAGTCTTTACATTACCATATATATTTTAAAAGCAGCTTATCCAAATATCTTCCTCCCACCCCTAAATCTTTTGGTATTTTGACTGGGATTACACTGAATCAATAGATCAGTTTGGATAGAACTAATTGACATTTCTGTAATACTTACTTTTCTAGTCTATGAACATGTTATATTATTCCATTAAGTCTTCTTTAATTTTGTTTTTATTGCATAGAGGTCTTTGCACAATTTATTTCTAGGTATTTTTAAGTTGCATATTTTATAAAGTTTTATTTTCTAACTGTTGCTGGCATATAGTTAAGCAACTGATTTATGTATATTGACCTTATATGCAGTAACCTTATGAAACTCACTTAGGGATTCTAACCAGTTATCTTTACATGTTTTTGTATTTTTTAATGAATAAATCTATTAATAACATCAGTTTTCTTTCTTTCCAATCTTTACAGCTTTTCTTTTTCTTGGTTTTTCTGCTCAGGGATGATTTGTTTGCTTCTGCCTAGAACTTGTGAGCATTAGCATTCTGGAGTTACCGGAATTCCCGGGCTACTTCAACCTGACTTTGGGATTGGAATGACTGAAGATGAGCTACAGTCTCCGAGGGAACCTACTTTAGTGATCCCTGGACACCAATTTCTATGGCTTTGATCCTTTAGATCAGGGGTGGGGAACCTTTACTCTGCCAAGGGCCATGTGGATATTTATAACATCATTTGCAGGCCATACAAAATAATCAACTTAAAAATTAGCCTGCTATGTTTGGTCAAACATTTAATTAACTCACCCCAATGCCTTGGAGGGCCAGACCAAATGATTTCTCAGGCCTTCTATGGCCCGTGGGCCGGATGTTCCCAGCCCTGCTTTAAATGATCAAAGATGGCTCGGCTTCTTGGCCTCTCAGCCTTACCACCCTTAATTAATGTAAATCTCCAGAGGAATAAGCACGCCTCGGATCAGGTTCACTTTCCTGGCACTCTGCTTCTTCAGGTCCTTGCCTGGTAATTGCTTCTATCTTTTTGGCTCTCCAGTGTCCATAGTCAGATGCGTTTTACATTTTGTCTAGTTATTTTAATTGTTCCTAATGGGAGTATTGGTCTGATTACCTAGTATACCATACTAGAAATAGAAGTAAATATTCAATTACACTATTGATAATGACAGATAATGAATGAATACTAACTGAAGGGATAATTGTTGGATTAAAAACTTAAGGGAAAGCCCTTTATTTTCATCTAAGTTGCAGTTACTAGGTTACTGACCTATCTTTGCTTAGAATGTAAAAATACACACAAACTTAAATTTATTCAAATTCATTCTATGCTTCCTCTTTTGGGTAACAAGCATTTACTAAGCAACTATGTACTAGACTCTATTCTAGAAATTTGGTGATTTGATAATCAGTGAGAAGAGATGCAGACAGCTTGCATTACCAGAATTCCAGGACTACTTCAACCTAATTTCTCTAGAAGAAATCCAGAGAGGAAGATGATTGATAACACAGGGGACACAAACGATAAACCAGAGTAAGATATAGATGTAGGGGTGGAGGGTGGGGCTAAACACAGGTAGAGGAGCTAGCCCTGGACAAGAAAATGCTACCTCTTATTTGAGCTCGAAGGAAATAGGGTGACAGTAGGTACAAATATTGCTAAACATACAAATTTAGAAATTGGAAAGCTTATATATGTTATGGGAATTTCCTATGAGGAGGAGGCCAGGTTAAGGCTGGCAGAGGGAGTTTAATGTAAAGTCTTAGAATGAGTCCTGGGGGCGAATTGGGGAGGAACTCTAGGCTGTGGTCTAGTGCACACTTTTACATGACTTTTCTCTGGCCAGGCGCAGTAGCCTGGGTACAGGATGAATGGCTAAGATTAGGCATTTATAGCGTACCTATGGTAAGGATTGTAAAGACAATGGGGTAAGGATTGTAAAATACTAAGAAGAGAAGGGCAATGTGATCTAAGTTTGATAGAAAAGAAAGCAACACATGAGGAAGGTGATAGTAAAAAGTTAAGAGAGAGAGCTATCAGAAGCCTGAAGATCTGGATGAAGTCAAAGGAGAAAGTGAGTGAACTAAAGGGCTAGAAAGAAATTAACTGTGGTCAGAAGTTGGTATACAAGTAGGGCAGTTCAAGGAAAGAAGGTCCTAAACAGTCACTGAAGTGGTTTGCTTGAGTAGAATATAAATGACAGTTGCTGAAATAGAGATGACACAGGGTATTCAAAGTTACTTTATTTTATTTTATTTTATTATTGTCCCCCTAAGTAGCCTTTTAAGGTATTTTTTCCTGATTACCCTCATTCCCAAAAAAGGCTTCATATCACAAATACACTGTATTTGTTGATATATTATAAACATCTAAGATGTTTTACTCCTCAAGAACCAATTTTCTTCCCCGTGGAGGCAATATCCCCTTTGATGAAAATGCACGAGCACCCTGGCTGGGTAACTCAGTTGGTTAGAGCGTTGTCCTGACAAGCTAATATTGTGGGTTCAATTCCCAGGTAGGGCACATACAAGAATCAACCAATGACTGCACAAATAAGTGGAACAACAAAACGATGTTTCTCTCTTTCCCCTTTCCCTCTCCCTTTCTCTTCAAATAAATAAAGAAAATGCATGGACTGGGGTGTTAGACAGGCAGTCTACACACATGCTGAAGTAGCTCAGAATGGCAATTCTATGGAGACTCAGGTTTCACTGAAATATTAGTCAGTAAAATTCAATATTCCACTTGATTTTACAAATTAAAGGAGCTTGTCATCTCATAAAGATTCTTAGGAATTTAATATACTATTGAATACATTTAGGTTGCTAACAAATGCAGCATCTCATTATAACAAGAGTTTAGAAGAATTTAAATGATGTTGAACAAGTATTTTGCTTCATGGATATTAATTATGAATATGGATATTTAACATGCGAATCTATATTTTATTTGGTCAAGTTTTCTTAATCACAAATGACAAGATTATTTACTATTGCTATTTTGCAATTTGTCACTTGGGGGCAGCAAAAATACTTTGGAATCACAGAAGTATAGCATTTAACTAATACCCTGTTTCTCCGAAAATAAGACAGTGTCTTGTATTAATTTTTTCTCCCAAAGTTGCGCTAGGTCTTATTTTCAGGGGATGTCTTATCTTTCCATGCGCTAGGTCTTATTTTTGGAGGATGTCTTATTTTCGGGGAAACATGGGTAGGACAGAAAGGCTATTAAAGATATAAGGCACAGGGTTAGGCAATAAAAATTGAAAAAGTAAATGCCAAGCCTCAAAAGATATCATAGTCTAGTAGAGGGGAAAAGACATTGTACATGAATAATTATAATATGAGATAGCACAGGATGAGTGAAATGAGAGGTACAATGTGCTTATAGGAATTCTGAAGAATTTGAAGTTGGATGTAGATCAAAGGTTCATGAAAGATAGGCAGTTAAGTAGTTCTTGAAATATGACAGGTAGAGATCAACAGGGAGAACTTTTTCAGTTGATAGAATGTATGAAGTAAGGAATGAGGGGTTATACAACTTAGGGTATTTATGGGGAAATAAAGAATATAATTTGATTTTTTTTTTAGAACATGGTAGATACACAGTGGGGTTGATAGACATTTGGAAAAGACAGAAAGCAACAGCAAAGACAATAGCAGGCTAAGGGGTCTGGACTTCCATCAGTAAATACATAAAAAGAACCCATTAAGGGGTATGTATCTAAGGGGGAGAAAGAGAGAAGACGGGAGATGAGTGAGATGAGAGGGAAAGATCCATACATAGACAGATAGACATATGCAAGCCCTGTCCAGAGCTGTGACTAAATACATTTTTCTGGCTGTTAAGTTCTGTTCAAGAGTGAATAGTATGAGCCAGACATGGAACGAGGGCTGGAGACTCAGAGCATACATGAACAATGGCATACATGAACAGTTTATCATCTCTCTTCTCTACTAGACAAGTTTAGGAGGACAAAAGGCTAAATAATATTCTTGGGCTTTCATTTCCCCACACATAAACAGGCCCATGGCCACTGGTCTAATAGCAGAAGAAAAATGCCTATAATCTATAGCAGCTATTAAAAATATAAGATAAACAATTCTTAGCTTTCTTCTGTTTCCTAAGGAAATAGAAATATGTCTCAGCTATTTCAAATGTTTCTTTTTTATTGAGGGAGGTTATCTGTGGTGGTATCACATATATAATAAGTGATAATAAATCCCTCATACTTTCTAAAGTGACACTATGAATTTCCAAGTTACTAAAAAAATATCATTGGCAACAAAAATTAGTTCTAGCAACCGATATTTACTTAAGGAGTGACAATTAGTTATTTATTAAGGAGACAGTGTTATTAATAATTAATGGACTATTTCATTGGCTTCATAAGAAAATAAAGTATTGCAGGTTGAATTTGAAGTAGGTATAGTTATGTAGTGAGAGAAAATATGAAATGAGCTTCTGTTATTTCAAAGAAAAAAATTCCACCAATTCAAACAGTGTCTTTAATAGCTACTGATATGTAATAAATGAGCCTTGGTTGATAAAGAATAGACCAAGAGTATAAAATGGTTAGATATCTAGTTAAAATAGTAACAAAACTCAGTAAAAACTGAGAAGTAGCCCAAAGTTCACTTTAACTATTTAAAAATATGTTTTTGTATTGGTTTTACAGAGGGAAAAAGAGATAGAAACATCAATAATGAGAATCATTGACTGACTGCCTCCTGCATGCCACAGTGGGATCAAGCCTGAAACCTGGGCATGTTTGAGAATCAAACCTGGAATTGAACTGTCATACGTCGACATTCAACCACTGAGCCATGCTGGCTGGGCTAGTTTAACTATTTGTTTAGGTATCAACAATTCTCCATTCCAAGAATTCAACAAAAACCAAAAGCTTGGGACTACTCCATCTGCCTGTTAAATTATTATAATTACACAGTACATAAAAAGCCAACCAACTTAGCGGAACAAGTTATCCTATCACTGGCCACTCTTCTCACTTGCCCTCTTATTCTATAACTTACTGTAATATATTTTTCCGAATTTAATGTTTTATATGGCTCTCTTTATAGTCTGTGAACTTCATTAGGCAGAAGCCATATCTTATATCTGTCTCTTTAGCATTTAAAATAGTGCCTTATGCCCAGCTGATGGGGCTAAGTGGTTAAGCATTGACTCATGAACCAAGAGGTCACTGGTTCAATTCCTGACAGGGCACATGCCCGGGTTATGGGCTCAATTCCCAGTAGGGGTGTACAAGAGGCAGCCAATAAATGATGTTTCTATCACTCTATCCTTCTCCCTCTCTCTCTAAATACATATATATTGTATATTATATGCCCAGTGCATGAATTTGTGCATAGGTGGGGTTCAGCCAGCCTGAGGGGAGGGGACACAGGAGGTTGGCCAGCCGACCTTGCCCCCAATTGGGTTGGGTTAGGGCCACAGTGCATGTCGTAGTGACCTGTCATTCCTCTCGTTCTGGTCATTTTAGTCACTTGGCTTTTATATACATAGAATAGAGGCCCAGCATACAGATTCATGAACCAGTGGGGTCCCTCGGCCTGGCTTGCAGGGATTGGGGTGAAACTGGCTCTTTGATATTACCTGAGGGTCCTGGATTGTGAGAAGGTGCAAGCCAGGTTGAGGGACCCCACTGGTGCATGATCGGGGCTGGAGAGGGATCGCAGGGAGGGATCACAGGGAGAGCTCCAAGGCATGTCCGACCAATCGCCCAGTCCTGATCTGCATAACCCCAGCAGCAAGCTAATCTAGTGGTTGGAGTGTCTGCCCCCCTGGTGGTCAGTGTACATTATAGTGACTGGTCAAATGGTCAGACACTTAGCATATTAGGTTTTTATTATATAGGATGTATACATATATTTAAAAAAAAACTTAAAAGAATAAAATAGTGCCTGATACATAACTGGCATGCATGCACACCTATGCGTGTGTGTGTGTGTGTGTGTGTGTGTGTGTGTGTGTGTGTGTGTAAAGGATAAATGAGTACTTAAATGGAACTGGCCTTAGAAAGAATATGAGAGCCCAGCTGGTATGGCTCAGTGGTTGAGCATTGACTTATGAATCAAGAGGTCACGGTTCAATTCCTGTCAGGGTACATGCCTGGGTTGTGGGCTCAATCTTTAAGGAGTGTGTAGAAGGCAGCTGAACAATGATTCTCATCATTGATGTTTCTCTCTCTCTCCTTCACCCTTCCTCTCTGAAATCAATAAAAGACATATTTAAAAACAAAAACAATAAAAAAGAGAAAGAATATGAGAGAAAAGAGAACTATTTGACAACCAAAACTTCATTACCATCTCATAAAGTCACTTGCAGAAGAATTCTTACCTGGCGTGTTACTACAAAATACGCATACATTGCCATGGCACTTCCATAAGTGATGAAATAGGTGACAGGCTCCATAATGTCCCAGGAGTACTCCCACCAGGTAAGCCGGGCCAAAATGCCAAACTGTGTGGCCATGTAAGCAAGTCCACCCCATAGCACCAAAGTGGTCCTCTTCTCAGCTTTTCTGCTGATCTCAAGTCGTACCTATGGGGCACACATGATTGATCAGTCATAAAGCACTTTGACATAGAATCATATAAAATTCTTATTTAAACTGTTCTAGGTTCACTAAAGAAACAGGACTCATAATCAAGATATAAGTTAGTCTCAGTTCTATTAAATATAGTTTGCCTTCCTAAATAGTACCTATAGTTCTCACTGAATAAGATATTTAAAAGGAGTAATACTTATTTAGGACACTGTGTTTTATGTTTCATCCAAAAAGTGGCTGAAAATATGGTGAACTACAGGAGTGAGTTAGTTTCAATAGTTCTTCATACTACTACAAGATTATTTTCTTTGAGAAGAGGGAAATGAAAGCATGCAAATGTTCTCTCACTGTTCATATAAAATTTCATCTATTATCAGTTTTTACTGAAAGGGTTTACTAGGGAGGGGCAGATCAGCACAGTGAGTCAGAGCATGGACTCTGGATTCAGACCAGAAGAGTTTAAGCCTTCCTTGCAAATCACCATTAATTTCAGTATTGAGTTGCTCTGAGGATTTACAGAATACAGGTCAAATACTTACTACCATACTTCCTGGTAGGTAGTAAATATACAGTATAGGATGATAATTATTATAGTTGACACATTAAAAATGCTTTATGTTTTGAAAATACCAAAATTTAAAACTTGTCCCTCTTGACAACAGTTCCTTAAATTTAGTTTATCACAACTTTCTTCTTTTTAATCTTTATTTTTGAAAGTATTTACACATGTTCCTTCTTTCCTCCCATTAACCCCTGTATCACAGCTTTCTAATGGTTTTAATTTTAATGAGAACAACCTTGAGATATGTGTTGATTATTTTTTTTAAAAATCACAAAAAGCACAATATAAAGAGCTTTTGTTCCCTTTGTTAATATTTTAGTCTAATTTCTTAAAATGAAAATACTTGCATAATAAAAAATAAGAATGACACATGTTCATTCTAGAATACTCAGAAGAATGTAAAAAACCAGTCATAATCCTACTACTCTATTGACATATCTTTCTCTACATATGTATGTAAAATACATACATATGTATAACTATGAGCATCATACATTTAAAACTTGGATCATAGTATGTACTAATATGCTTACTTTTATAATTTCCTTTTCATAAAATATATGAATAGTTTTCTATAGCATAGTAGGTCTACACAATCATGTTAAACAGCTGTATAATATTTGATATAATTCTTAACTTGATTAAAGTCATTACCCACTATCCTCAGAACCTTTCTTGATCAGCAGTTATTTCTAACTTTGTTGTAAAGGTGGTAAACCTGTATAAGGGCAGACATTCAGACCTCAAAGCTTTAAGTCCATTATCAAGGCTCCAAACTATTTCTTTTTAAGTCTTTTCTTAGCTTTGATTGGAACTTTTTTATGGTTCAGTCCCCAAAACTAGTGGACTAGTTTGATTGACTCAGCTCAATTTCATAAAAAAAGCAAATTTAAAATGGAGGTAAATGTGCTCTGAAAAAGTATCAGTGAAGAGAAAAGTCAGAGGTTGAATTTGTACCTTTTCCAGGGGTGCCAGCTGCTCTTTGAGATCCTCTAATCTTTCGATAAGCTCCCGCTCCTTGCTGAGCTGGTGCTGCTCGATGCACAGTGTAGTGTAGAGCTGCTGGACTAGTGTTTTTACGTCGTTCAGCGTTGCTGCATTTTCATGGCTTAAGAGGTCTGAAAGGAAAAGGTTACTTTTAAAAAACTGTATGCCTTAAGTGAAGAGTTGCTATTAGACAGTAAGAACAAGGCAGACTCATCCACAATAGGGATCTCACTTTCAGTGTGAAACTGAAGGAAGGTAATATTTCTTTTTTAAAAAGAAGTATCTACAAATCATACAGTATATTTATATTTGGGCAACTTGAAAATCTTGAAACCAACATTCACCATGATATTTTTAGATGTTTAGATGCTACATATGAGGCTACAAATAATAACTTTCATTAGATAAAAATAAAAAATGAATACAGTATGTTAAAAATAAGAAGAGAGGTTTAGAATCAATCTTATTATCATGCTTATTAAAATGATCTATAATTTATCTATGGCTTTACCATTTCAATTGATGAATTTCCCCCTCTCTAGTATTATCTGAAGAAAAGCTAAAGTATTTCAAATTTGCACATACAAAGGTGTAAATAAAAATATCATATTCTAATAATCTTAGTCCCCATACATCTTCCCCCTAGCATACTTTTACTTATTTCTGTTGGGAAAAGACCCAGAATACCTGTCTGGATCTCAATATCATGCTCTAAAGGACATGAAGTTATAATAATTGAAAGGTTAAAAGATTACATTCTTTGATTCATTATTCTCTTCTGTAAGTTGTGTTTCCAAAAATCTAAAAATTATGTTGTGAGAACTTAATAAAAAATCCAGCTGATTTCAGCTGCCATTTATTAAAGCACTACAAATAAAGCTTTTGTTTTAGAATATTAGCCTTAATGTGACATTTTCTTAAGTTCAGTCCTTTTCTAAATAAAAATAAACTACAATCAAAATTAACTATATAGTTAAAAAAAGAATTTTTATTAAATTTATCGGGGTGACACTGCTTCATAGGATCATATAACTTTCAAGTGTGGGTGGTTGTGTGCACACCACCCAAAGTCAAATGATCTTCCGCCACCATGCATTTGGCCCCTTCACCCTTTACTACCTCCCCACCCCCTTCTCTCCGGTAACTACCATACTGTTATCTGTGAAATATTTTTCAAAAACATCCTTTAGTACAGTTAACACAGAAAGTCAATCAATAAAAATTCAAATAAGGGTAGCAAATTGGATTAGAGAAGGGCTGATATAGTAAAATGGGATGAGCACAGAGTCTTACACACTTTGAACTCTGGAAGTCATCTATGTCAACAGGGTCTTCTTTGCACTAAAGTTGCAGCTCACATTTGTATACAGCTTTACACTTTCCAGCTACCAGAAGAGGAAACTGCGCTCTAGAAAGCAGGACGTTGTCTGGAATTTCACAGTGAGGAGGCAGCATCCCCCGGGATTTCTCTATCAGCCCGCTTTTGCTAATCCTTTTCCTAATGGTTGGATGTGTCTGAATTTCCAGGTTCTTTGGCAAGCTTTGATTTGTCCATCTGTGTCATTGCTTAAAAATTGGTGACTATTCTCCCATCTTCCAAGCTCCCTTTTCAGATTCCTACTTCTTCAGCTTCATACAACTAACTGTATAAGATTTCATTCCTATATTAAACTTTTATTCCATAATATTCATGTGGCTGCTTCCCCAATTGAACCATTATGCATTATATGCTACTATTTACATAAAAAGTGAAAAAAGATTATACATTCATATTTTCTTACAGGTGCACTGACTATCTCGGGTAGGAAACAAAAGGAGCTAAGAATGGTGCTTGCAGGCATAGAGGAGGAAAGGGTGGCGCTGGAACAGGGATGGAAAACTTTTCCCATACATCCTTGTCTTTGGGAGCTGAACTTGTGAATGTGTTATCTAGTCAAGACAAATTAAAAAAAAATTAATGTGCAACCACAATACCTTCTAATAGAAATGAAAAGACTATAAAATGATAATTCATAGAAAATCAATCTCATAGATGGTCAATTCTAGACCAGGTTGAAAACTGAGTTATCTTTCAGGAGGCATCAGTAAAGGCCTGCTAAACTCAAGGAAGTAAGCTTTGTTTCGACAGGAAGAATATGGTTCCACGTATTATTCTGGTGAAGGAAAACAACCATCTCAAAAAATTGACCCCCCCCCCCAAATCTGCCTACATAAATGGAAATGAAATTACAAGAAAAGGGAAGATAAAACTAATAGTTTAACAACAACACTTTGGGGATTAGTGTATGCTTCACTAAAAATGCAACCAGATGCATATTAATGTTTCTGCACATGCCATCAGTGCCAGGAACAGTAAGGCACAGAAAGGCAGGGAGGTGTGCTAATATGAGGGAGACTGAAGTCTTTTCAGCCTCTAGAATGGTTTGAGAAGGACTTCAGCTACTTCAGTCTCTTATAAGACTTTTGTTATTGTTGGTATTTGGTTTGCCTGTACAACCTTTTCTCTCAAATTACTTACATCATTCAGATAGACGTAAGGCCTCCAGTATCCTCTGGATGGATGAAAGGAGGAAAGGGCTCTGCGATGGCAATTAAGTGATTCTCCTCAGCACACAGACTCCCAACCGCTAGTAATAGAGAGGAAATTTTCTTCTTCCCCAAGACTAAGGGGAAGATAGGTAATTACTACTTCAACATGGACTGGGATAATAGACTTTTTATGCTCCCTTTCCATATTCTTCTCTCTATTCTAGATTTGATTAGGTTATAAGATAATCTAATTGCTAAAATAGTTGCTCCTCCCATCTTGCAGTGGTCAGAGGGGAATCTAACCATATACAGCTGCAGTAAGCAAAAAAATGCAATGGAGCTCAAAACTAGCTTTGACCTGCCCCTTGTTCCATTTCAGTTTTTTCCTGCCTCATCCCTCCAATTTTGGGGTGACGCATAAGATTTGTATATACTTAGGATTTATAATACCCAAGAACTGCCAATCCCACATAAACATTAACTGTGGCTATATTAGATTCTATATGAATGAGCCTCTGTCCTCAATGACTATTGGAAGTGTGTGAAGATCAGGTTTACTGGCACACAACATTCCTAGGGCACTGTTAGTTCTAAAGTGCTATTCAGCTGAAACCAGTTTGGCTCAGTGGATAGAGAGTTGGCCTACAGACTGAGAGGTCCCAGGTTCAATTCCGGTCAAGAGCATGTACTTTGGTTGCGGGCATGTCCCCAGTAGGAGGTGTGCAAGAGGCAGCTGATTAATGTTTCTCTCTCATCGATGTTTCTAACTCTCTATCCCTTCCTCTCTGTAAAAAAAAAAAAAAAAAATCAATAAAAATATGTTTAAAAAAAATAAAGTTTTATCTATGGCAGGGAAAAGGAAAATAGGAGAGCCATGTGAAACTAAAGGGGTAACAAATTAGTAAAAGCAAAAATGTGTCAGAACTTTAAAAACTGTCCTGAAACGTTTTTCTTCATTATTGGACGAAGCAGATTTGTTCCTCTTCATTATCCGACACCCAAGACCTAGTGCCTTTATTTTCTTTCCGCTAAAAGAGTTCCAGTGTGGGGGAGAGAAATATGTGTCCTCATCTGGATGACTGGCATCCCTCTTGGGCATAGACACTCAACTGCTCTCTTATTTGGTACATCTGAAAAAGCATGGTGAATCGGATGCCAGCAGTATCTTCCTTGGTGAAAGGAAGAGAATACATTGGCGACAAAATTAAAACCTATTTTACATTTCATCAAAAGAAAAAAAATATTTTCTTTACTATGTTTTAAAAGGCGGGGGAAACAAAATGTTTAGGAACTTAAAACAGATTGTTTGAGCTTCTGTGAGAAAGGATATCTAATGGCATAATCTCTCATTGGCTAATTAACAGAGCTGAGAGAGCTTTCATGTGTGAATTTAATGTTAAAAAGGTCTTTTAAAATAGACTTTGACTCTTGCAGTCTTTACAGTTCAATTAACTTGTAGGGAAGCTGGGTAGATTATTCCACAATTCTGAAATAAAGATAAAGTAGAATTGTTAGGCTTCCAAATTGATTACCAGGGAATCAAATACAATTTTCCCCCCTATTCAATTTCTAACTTTCCTTTCCTTATTCAACTTGGGAATGACTCAATTTTAAAACCTAAAACATTCATTTCTGTTTTAAAAACCTAGTATTAGACAAGATGGTTGAAATTATTCATTGACTAAAATACCTTGTTTTTTTTAAAATCCTCACCAGAGGATATTTTTTTCCATTTTTTTTTTCCTTAGAGAGAGTGGAAGGGGGGGGGGAGTGAGGTGAGAGACAGAGAGAGAGACAGAAAGAGAGAGAGAGAGAAACACCAAAGTGAGGAACACATTGACTATTTGCCTTCTGCACAAGCCTATCCAAGACTGGGGATCAAACTGCAACTGAGATACTTGCCCTGGACCAGGAATTGAACCCATAACCCTTCCATCTGCAGGTCAACACTCTAATTTCTGAGAAAAACCAGCCAGGGCAAAATAGCTGTCGTTTTTTTAAAAAAAAAATATTTAAAAAAATTGATTTCAGAGAGGAAGGGAAAGGGAAAAAGAGAAACATCAAGGTTGAGAGTGAATCATTGATCAGCTGCCTTTTGCACGCTCCCTACTGGGTATCGAACCTGCAAACTGAGCATGTGCCCTGAATGAAAATTGAACTATGACCTCCTGGTTCATAGGTTGACACTCAACTGCTGAGCCACATGGGCTGGGCATACCTCTAGTTTTTGACAATATATGGAAGCTCATATCTTAAGTTTCCTCATTGTTAAACTTTATATAGGAATACATTAATCAACTTAAAAAGTTTACTAATGCAGTAGGTTCTCGGGTTACATCGGAGATCTGTTTCTACGGCGCAACTTGAGATTTTCACCATAAGTCAGACCCACCTACATAAACACCTACGTCACTCACATGGAGCACATACATAACAGTAATGAAATGAAACAGTAAAAAAAAATGAAAAGAAAGATAACAATTCCTGACCTTTACTTGTGGTAAATAAATAATAAAAAACATAAAGCACATATGTACATACATCGAAATGATGGAACTTTTTTTTTTTTTTTTAATAAATAAACAGGAAATGGTAATGTAACCACAAAATGATGTATGTTGAGTTGACGTAACCCGAGGACTTTCTGTACAATAGAAACTCTAAATAGAATGAACTCTTTAATTCACATACACACACAAAATAAGGAAGTATAATGCCCTCAAGGTCCATCGTGTCAGAATTTCCTTCCTTCTCATGGCTAAATGTATATTCCACATCTCTTTATCCGTTCATCCACATGTGGACACTTAAGTTGTTTCCATATCGTGGCTATTGTGAATAATGCTGCAGTGAACATGGGAGTGCAGATGTCTCTGACCTGATTTCATTTCCCCCAAAAGCGGGATTGCTGGATCATGTGGTAGTTCTATGTTAATCAAAGAGTACTAAGAAGGCTAACCCCTATTTTGCAAACTACTGTTTGAAATACTCTGCTATTTTTTAGGCAGCCCCTTATTCTGAAAAAATAACTTTGCTTTCCAGCCTGCTTGAGTAATGAGGAGGATAAACTTAGCTGTCTGATGTAGGCAGGAGACTAGATACGCCCATTCTCTCACGCCATGCCAGATGTGTTTTTTAATTGGATAGAACCGTGTTGTTTTCAAGGCCACAAGCTTCCAGCGAGATAATCACTAAGCACACACAGGGCTGGCTCTTTAATAAAAAGAAAAATTCTGCTTGTTTGCTCTGCTTAGAATTTGAATTCATTTCTCTCTAAGCCCACTGGTATACTGTATATTAAAGTGTGACTCCAAACTCTCTAATCATTGCTTGTTTTATCCTTCCCCCCCCCCTTTTCTGCAACAATACCAAGCTTCCAGTTATATGATGAGTAAGTTCTGAGGATCTAATGTACAATATGGTGACTATAGTTAACAATACTGTAATGCAAGCATGTCAAACTTGCGGCCAACGGGCCACATGTGGCCCACAATGAATATTTTTGTGGCCCAGCCAATATGATGTTATGTAAGAAACATTTTAATAAAAATTCATAACTTAATTTTTACAATATCCTGTTATATGTAACTAGAGGCCCAGTGCACAAAATTCACGCACGGGGGTAGGAGGGGGCCCCTCAGCCTGGCCTGCACCTTCTCACAATCCGAGACCACTGGCTCCTAATTGCTCACCTGCCTGCCTGTCTGATCACACCTAACTGCCCCCCCTGCTGGCCTAGTCACCCCCCAACTGCCCCCCCTGTAGGCATAGTCCCCCCACTACTGCCTCCCCTCTGACAGCCTGGTTGCCTCCAACTGCCCCCTCTTCCCTCCCGTAGGCCTGGTTGCTCCATGCAGCCTGCTTGTTCAATCGTTTGGTCGTCCCTCACTAACCCCCCTCCCAGCCTGGTCGCCCCACACAGCCTGTTTGGTCCATTTGGTTGTTTCAGATACAATGGTTGCTTAGCCTTTTATATGTATAGATTAGTAAAATGTACTACAACATTCACTAATACTGATTACTTTAATCGTGTTGCATTCATTTCCTTTACACACCTTACACGCAGGTGCACCATTTCTCTTCACTAATACTAGCAGCAAATATTTTAGGAGCCAATTACCATGTCATTAGTTGTACTGACTTGTTTGATGTGCACAACAGGAAATATTTTGCTTTTGGAGAACAAGAAAAATAGGTTTATTTGTGTTATGCTTATTAATTTGTACAATTATTCAGTGTCTGATAAGTTAATGTTCAAAAATATATTAATTTTTATTAAGATGTTCTATTATTTTATGTTAACAATTAGTTATTTCAGCTTTTTGTATTCAGCATGTCTCTATTGAAATAAACCTATTTCTATGAAAATTAAAGCTTCTGTGTGTTTTTTTTTTGCAGCCCCCATAAACTAAAACCTTGTTTATTTGGCCCGTGTTAGCCTTTGAGTTTGGCATGCTTGCTGTAATGTAATGTACTTGAAAGTTACTAAGAGAATAAATCTTAAATATTCTGACCACAAAAAAAGAAATTATAATTATGCTAGGTGATGGAGGTGCTAACTCAGTGGTCAACAGAGCAAATATCAACAGTACAACAATTGAAATTTCTTTTGAGAGCTAACTTTTTAAAACGTAAACTTCTTCTAATGCCATTTCTTCAAAATAGACTTGTCCAGGCCGTGGTATTTTGTGGAAGAGCCACACTCAAGGGGCCAAAGTGCCACATGTGGCTCTCGAGCTGCGGTTTGCAGACCACTGCACTAATACTATTATGATCTTTTCACAGTATAGAAGTGTATCAATCCATTACATTGCACACCTTAAACTCACACTATGTTATATGTAAACTATATGTTAATAAAGCTTGGGGGAAAAGGAACAAATTTAAATAGCACAACAAAAACTGAGTAAAATAAACCTCTACTTCTGTTATTTTAAAGATAATTTTAAGTACAAGAATCAAGGAATAAAGAAAATATATATATATATAAGTATAGCTAATACATAGCTAACAATCCCTGGTCTACATGTTCATTTATTCCAAGTTACTAAAATCTGTTTCAGAAATACCTTAATACTTTAAAGAATACTTTCCCATCCTTATTATACTTTTCTGCATTTTTTTCTAAGCTTGTTGGCATCCTTTTCAAGTACGAACGCCACCTGCTCTCTTTTTTGATGCACCTGAAAAATGTGTGGTGACTTGGATGCCATCAATATCTTCCTCAGACAGGGAGAGGAAGAGAATGCTGTGGAAATAAAATTTTACATTTTATCAAAGAAAAAGATTTTCTCTATTCTGTTTTAAAAGGTGGGGAAACAGATTTGTTTGAGCGTCTGTGAGAAAAGGTATCTAATGTCTCAACTAGCTTGAGCACAGAGGAGATTCTGGCCTCTGAAAAACCAAAATGCTATCAAGTTAACTCATTTAATTCCCTCAAGTAGAACAGCCACCTGAGTCAATCAGGGTCACAACATCACTGTAACATTGTAAAGGGAAGGGATCAGAAGAACTCAGGGGAGACATTAACCACTTCCGGTTGGCTGGGAATTGAAGAAAGAAAGAATAGGATCGTTAAAGGCTCCTCAGAAGAGCTGACATTGACAATTCTGACGTAAGGAAACGAGGTTAGGGAGAAAGGAGACGGGTATCTGTGGCAGAGAAAAGATGAGCAAACACTCAGGTGGCAAAGAAAAGGACAGTTTAGGAACAAAGGGGAAAAGGGTGGAAGAAAAGCAGGCAACATATAAGACAGAAAGAGAAAAATTTTTAAGGTAGCTGTGGACCAGACTTTGGAAGCATTCAATACTTAGATTTTTACTCAGATCTTTTTCTATATTAGACACAATTCTCAAAAGCAGAATTGATAAGTGGAGATGTCCTAGTAGGCTGGTAGAGGGATAGTAGTGATGGAAGGAGCATTAAGAATACCAGTCAGTAACAATAAATATCAAGGATAAAGAGGGAAAAGTAATAAAAAAAAAAAAAGATATAATTCAATATGCTACTTTAGAGGGCTTTTGAGCATCAGTACCATGCAGAGCCACATTGGAGCCTGGGGTAAAAGAAAAATCAGCAACATTCACTATGCTGTTATTTAATTTTTTGATATTTTGTTCATTTTGTTCATTTTGCCTTTTAATTAACAATTTTCTTATAAATTTACTTATTTTGACTACTAAGTTTTGAGACTCCCTTTTAAAATTTACTCCTAAGCAAGTACCTCACTGTTTTACATAAAAGCATATATATGTCAGAAGTTCCTAAGGTCTATTATTGTATAATAATTGACGTTCAGATTGCTGACTTTGAATTATAAAGAAAAGGATTAATTCTCATTAAAGAGCACAGGAAAGTCCATAATTTATTTTAAAAATACCCCCATCCCCATAAAACTATTAAAATAATATGACTTTTAGCTTGTATGGAGGGAAGGAGCTTACGTTATGTAGAACATTCCCTTATGAGACCAGCGGCAATATCAGATAATAAGCTTTCTTGAGCTTAGGTAGAATTTAAGTTTTCATCAACGCACTGGGCAAGTGCCCGGTACTCTAGGAGTTTTTAACTGAAACAGAGTCTGCAGTAAACCTTTCAGTGTTCCTGGAATACTGCCTGCTTCTAAAGTTATCCAGGGGAGAGTTAAGTTCTTTCTAAAAGCCCTTCCCTCATTCCTCTGACCTTACCAGGGTGACTTTTTACCTCTCTTTGGCGGTCGCACATGATATGTTAAGTCGTTAATGACCAGCTTAAAGTCATCAAGGAGGAGGAGGTCTATTCCTGTTGAGGCAGCAACTCGAACGCCATCTGTGAAAAAAGTTCAATGTGAAAAGGTAAACTTGTCCTATGTCCACAATTATTTAAGAATGGTCATGAAAAAGTAATCCTCAAAATAGATTTTAAAAATGATGTCTCTCTTCATTTCAGTTAACTTTTTGCCTCATCCCTGAGTCCATGCTAAACAGAACTTATGTTATTATCTGAGTTCTGTTTTCATGGCCTGTGAAGATTGAACAACAGAGTTTTCTGGGGAAACTACATGAACAAGTGAAATAATTACATAGATCTATAGGTGTCAGTTGGAAATCTAGGGTCACTGGCAGAGCTGCATGGGCGTCTTATATTTGTGATGGAAGGTGGGTGAGTAAAAATACATTTTCCTTTATGTAGTACTTTTCCGTGTGGTCACTGATTAGAAGCCCCAATAATTCGTTAGGGATGAATGCTAGGGCTAGCAAGTACACCTAGCTGGTCTACTAGTTATACTACTTCATGAATTGAGTATCAAGTCTATATAAAATATTTATAGCATAGAAATGTGGCAAATTGTTAATAACTGGTGAATTCAAGTGGAGGAGAAGTGGGTACTTATTGTACTAATGTGGATTTAAAACATTTCAAAGTAAAAATGAGGAAAATATGTAAAGCACTTAAAAATAAATAAGTAAAATGGGTGTCATGTCAAATGGAAATTTTTGGTGCCTTATTTTATATTCTTTTCAAGTATACATGTTTTTATTTTGGTAAATCTTTATGTGAAAGACATAAGAAAATCTAAGAAGAAGTCCTAATATCTCATATCTTTAGAGATGAGGAGTCAACCACTGGAAAAATTTATTCTATGCGTAAGGCAATGATGGAAGGTCTTAATAATATACAGTGCCCACAGCATTATATGTGAGGTGTGTTTGAATGAGGCTCCCTGTGTATATATATTTGTTAAAACTGAACAGTTATATTCTGAGAACCACTTTCTCTCCTGCTGACATTTGCTAAGCAAAGAAAGTTAAGAGTAAGAGATTCTTTTGCAGAAACCTGTGTGTGTGTGTGTGTGTGTGTGTGTGTGTGTGGTTTTGGGGAAATGGATGGGTGGGAATTTAATAATGAAGGTGACTGTACCTGGTGAGTAGATTGCAACTCTGTCAATTCCCCGATCCTCTTCTTGTAGTTGTCGTAAAAACACACCAACAGAGTCTGAGATAGGTTTGAGTGTGAACTGGCAGCGTTCACGCCGGGATGGTAGCCTCACAGATATCACAGGTAACCCATTTTGATACACCACTGTCACATCTGAATGAAAAAGACCCCCAAGTATATGAAAGTTAGATTCATTGTAAGTTACAGCTATATTCTTACCATTCTTCCTAGTATATGAGATCTGTTATTATCAGTGTGGTTTAAAATGTTTTCAAAGGTTTAAGAATATGTCTTTTAGCTTTAGTTGACAGTTATTCTGGGAATTAGAATCACACAAGTCACTTTTCAGAAAAATGGAAACATACAAAGGATTATCTTCTAAGTGGACCAAGGAAAAGCATTCTTAGGAATTTGAGGTAAAGCTCTTGGTATTGCTGAAGAACTTTACCCGGTTTCATTTATTAAGATTTTATTAGGTAGTCAGAGATTGCCAGCTGACTCCATAACGTAGAGGAGGTGGCTCTAGGGAGCCAGAGCTTTCAAGAAGCCCTGGGGAATTAATGATATCTTAAAGTACACCAACAAAAAGGATTCTTGCTCAAGAATACAACTCATATTTATAGGACAATATTATATCCAAGGCACTTGAAAACTTAGCATTCTCTTACACAACATGGGCATATTATGAATAATAAAAAAAGTTCCTTTTATATTCTCCCAAACATCTATCTTTCTGAGCTTAGCAAGAAGCAAAGATGAACTATTTGGCATTTTCTAACAAAAAGTTAATAAAGAAGATATTATTATAAGCTATCCAACTGAAAGGATTTTCTACAACAGTATGGCACAGAATTCCTTATTTCCTTATCTTTTTCTTCACTACTCTTGTTTTGCAGAGCCTGTCATTAAAACAAATGTCAGAATAACTCAAAGTAATTTTCAAATGAATTTTTAAAAATAAATTAATTTTGAACCAGTTTTCTTTACATAAGCAACCAAATATTTAAAGATAAGTTAGCATCAAGGAAGAAAAACACTAGAATAATATATTATATACACATTTTTAAAACCTGGCTTCTTTCTCTCAGCATGATTTTGATATCCATGTAGATGTATGCATTAGTAGCCTATTCATTTTTATTGCTGATAGTATTTCACCATAAGGACACACTATAATTTATTTATCCATTCACCTATTGATTGTGGTATACCCTTTCTCATCCTTTTACTTTTTACCTATCCATGTCTTCATATTTAAAGTGGATTTCCACCTTGGCCAGTGTAGCTCATCCCGGGCACTGAAAGGTTAGATTCCTGGTCAGGGCACATGCCCAGGTTGTGGGCTTGATCCCCAGTAGGGAGTGTGCAGGGGGCATGAAAGAGAAACTCCTTTCACGTCCTCTCTCTAAACAATATCAATAAAAATATTAAAAAAAAATAAAGTGGGTTTCCATTACACAGCATATACTTAGATCTTGCTATTTTATCCAATCTGACCATCTCTGCCTTTCAATTAAAGTGTGTATATTATTTGCATGTAATAAATTATAAGAATAGTTGGATATAAGTCCACCCACCATCTTGTAACTTAATTTCTTGACCTACGTGTTCTTGCTTCTACTTTTCCTATTCTCTTGCCATCCTTCTTTTATATTAAACTGAGGATTTTTGTTTTTTTAATTGATCTAAGAGAAAGAGGAAAGAAGGAAGGGAGAGGGAGAGAGAGAGAGAAAGAGAGAGAGAGAGAAACATTAATGTGAGAGAGAAACATAAATCAGTCCATCACCCAATAGCGCCCTGACTGGGAATCAAACCCACCACCTTTTGGTGTATGGGATGATGCTTCAACGGAGCCACATTGACCAGGGATTAAGAGTATTTTTTATGATTATGTTTAATCTCTACTAATCGCTTATTAACGATACCTTCTTTTTTTAGGGGAGTTCATATTTTTAGGGGAGTTACTCTATAGCAGGTGTTGGAAAACTTTTTCTGTAAAGAGCTAGATAAGTATTTTGGGCATTGTGGGCCATAAGATCTTTGTTCCAAATGCAGACTCTGCACTGTGGTGCAAAAGCAGCCTTAGGCAGCTTTAGGCAACATGTAAACAAATAGGCATGGCTTTGTCCCAACAAACTTTTTCTACAAAAATAAGCTGTGAGCAGGATTTGGCTTACCGGGCTTGCTGAACCCTGTTCCAGGGTTTACAATATACACCTTTAACTTGTCACAGTTAATTTTTAAATAATTTTATACCATTTTAGGTTTAGTGCAGTGGGCGCTACTACAATATACTTCTATTCCCCTTGTTTTGTAGTATCATATATTTTACTAGAGGCCCGGTGCATGAAAGTCGTGCACTGGAAGGGGGGGTCCTCAGACCAGCCTGTGACCTCCTGCAGTCGGGGCCCTCAGGGGATGTCCGTCTCACAGTCTGGGACCCCTCGCTGCTCCTTAGTGCTGCCATGGAGGTGGGAGAGGCTCCTGCCACTGCCACCGTGAGCCCAGCTTCTGGCTGAGCAATACTCCCCTGTGCGAGTGCACTGACCACAAGGGGCAGCTCCTGCATTGACGGTCTGCCCCCTGGTGGTCAGTGTACATCCTAGGGATCAGTTGTTCTGGCCGTTCTGCCATAACCATCGCTTAGGCTTTTATTATATAGATGTAATTACCTGACAGTCTGTGTGCCTCCCCAAAGGCTCCCAGATTGCGAGAGGGCACAGGGCAGGCTGAGGGATCCCACCGGTATGTGATCGAGGCCAGGGAGGGATTGTGGAAGGTTGGCAGCAGGGAAGGGACAGCAAGAGGGCTCCAGGCTGTGTCCAGCCCATCTTGCTCAGTTCTGATTGGCCAGGCCACAGAAGCAAGCTAATCTACTGGTTGGAGCACCTGCCCCCTGGTGGTCAGTGCACATCATAGCAACTGGTCAACTGTCAACCCCGTGGTGGTCAGTGCATGTCATAGTGAGCAACTGAGCAGCCTTAGCATATCATTAGCATATTACACTTTAGTTGAACGGACGACCATATGACCATACACTTAGCTTTTATTATACAGGATTTCTATATGTTATAAGCCACATAATACATTATTTTTGCTTTGATAAGTGATATTTTAAAGAAATTCTGAAATGAAGGGAAATCTCTTTTATTTTTACGCATATATTCATCCCTTTTGTATAGATCCAAATTTCCATTTAGTATTATGTTTTTTGTTTTTTTGCTTGAAGGGCTTCCTCATACATTTCTTGATGTGCAGATGTTCCTGGCAACAAATTCTTTCAGCTTTGGCAAGTCAGAAAGGCTTTATTTCACCTTCATTTTTGAAGTGAATTTTGCAAAAAATTCTACGTTGACATATTTTTTTCCTTTCAGCACTCTAAAGAACTACGTCTTCTGGTTTGCAAAGTATATATTTATCTTTGTTTCTCTGTATGCAATATGTCTTTTAAACTCTGACTCCTTTTAATATTTTCTCTTTATTATTGGTTTTAAACAATTCTATTATAATTTTTCTTTCTATGTTATTCTTTGTGATTATTTTGCATGTGAGCCATTACACTTCTTCAAATTTGGGAGAATTTTGTCCATTATTCAAATATTTTTTCCTCCTATCCTTCTTCCTTTAGGATTCTAGTTATACTTAATATTAGTCCATGTGATGCAGGGCACCGAAGTGCTTTTCATATTTTTGTTTTTGTTTTTCTCCTCAGCTTCACTTTGGATAGTTTTGTCATGCGCTTCACTGTCACTGACCTTTTCTTCAATAGTGTTTTATCTGCTGTTAATTACATCTGCACTGTTTTTCACTTCAGACATATCTTCATCTCTAGAAGTTCCACTTGTTTTATTTTTATATCTTCTTTTTCTCTTCATGGTATATTTATTTTTTCTTTCTCTCCTCTGAATAAAAGGATCATATTTATAATAATTATTTTAAAATTCTGATCTGTTAATGTCATCCTCTCATCATTTCTATGTCTATTTCATTATTCTGGCTCTTTTCCTACTTGTTCATATTCCTAGTCATTTTTGATTGGAGGTTAAAAACTGTTAATTTTACATTGCTGAGTGCTGGATCTTGTACAGTTAAGTAGCTTTCTTTTCTTTCTTTCTTTTTTTTTTAAACATGTTTTTAAAATATATATATTACTGATATCAGAGAGGAAGGGAAAGAGAAATAGAAACATCAATGATGAGAGAGAATCATGGATTGGCTGCCTCCTGCACGCCCCCCACTGGGGATTAAGCCCAAAACCCAGGAATGTGCGTTTGACCGGAATCCAACCTGGGATTCTTCAGTCTGCAGGCTGACACTGAGCCACACAAGCCAGAGTTACACATATTTTTATTATTTTTATTATTTTTTTAAGAGGGAGAGGAAAGGAAAGGGAGCAAGAGCTAGAAACGATATGAGAGAACATTGATTGGCTGCCTCCTGCACGCCGCTCACCTGGGATTGAGCTTGCAACTCAAGCATATTCTGTGACTGGGAAATTGAACCAGCAAACTCTTGGTGTATGGATCGATGCTCAACCATTGAGCCACACTGGGCATTAAGTTACTTTCATATCTTTGAAAAAGTCTGTTAGGATAGATCTAGAGAATCTTTTGAGGGCCATTTTGGTCCCACTTCTAAGATATGGTTCTTCTGGGCATTTCTACTAAATATTCATGTACTCAGTACTGTCTTTTCCTTCTGGCTGGAGAGAAGTCAAATGGTTTCTGGCACTGTATGAGCACCGAAAATTATTCATTTTATAGCTCCTAGCAATTGTTTTCCTTGGACAAGTTGTTCTGGCCTGGTCTTATGGTTTAGAATTTAGCTGAAGCCTTAACAGAGGGTTAATCTAATTTGTTTCTCTTCTATCAGAGATCACAGTCTGTGCTGTTGTCCAATGTCTCAAAACAGTTGGTTCCCATATTTTGTCTGGTAATTCTTTGTAAAGACAGGATTTTAATTTTTATATAAAAACTAAAAAAGAAGCCAAGTCAAAAATCTTTTGCTTTAATCCTTTCAACAGGGTAGTCTATGTTTCTAAGAAAGAAGATACCAGAAACAGTAATATGAACTTAACACAGCACATACCATCTAAAGTTTTCAATATATAAAAATATTTGAAAATATAAAAATATATTCAATATTCAATACAT